CCCCCAATCCCGGCCCCCGGTTTCTGAAATAGCCTAACGGTATACAAGTTGCAGTACGGAGAGGAAGTTAGGATATGATGATCGGCATTCATACCGCAGAAAGAGGAGCGAAGGCAACCGCAACGCAATCCGCAGTCGTGAGGACATCACCCTCCCCCTTCCTTACTGTCAGTCTGGAGTGACCGGTTTCAAATGGCGGTTTGGTTTGGTAGTGTGTTCTCGTCTGTCGAGGAATGACGGGATTCGTTGCTTCTTTTCTGCGGGGGATGTTTGTTTCCTTCCGCTCTCTCTCTCTCTCTCTCTCTCTCTCTCTCTCTCTTTCTTTTGCCTTGTGAAATCATCATCTAAGGACATCAAGCTACGAGAACTGTCCCGCGAGAGGCTGGAGAACAGAGGCCGAGAAGGACGAGGGAGGTCTCTCAAATGCTTCTATCTGGAAAGCAGACCACTGGCTCATGACTGCTCTGAGATTATACTTCATCCGGCAATACTCTCCATCCAATTGATCTACTATCGATAGACTATAACTGACAGATAAGATTCCAACTACCAGGGTCGTGATGGGTGGGTGGCCGCTCCGATGCTTCCATTTTCTATTTCCGTTCGTTCCGCACGCGACTCATTGGATTGCAATCAAACACACTGCTTATCGCCTACTCAAGACATCCTCTGGCTGTCGCTCGATCCTCCCGTGTCAAACCAGGGATAGGAGATGATGGTGGCGACCACTTTTGGGCATCGTCCAGACACCAAAAAATGCGAAGCGATTAAGACAGGGTGGCGGAGGTGAAACCCCCTGCTCCCCTGTCTTCCCGTCGAGTCCCTGTTGCTTCAACCCTCGTACGGGGGTCAGACCTCAACTCAAGCGACAGGTTCATCCAATAGTTCGGTAAGGAGATGCCAGATCGGTCGGCTACCCTGCCCACATCAGAAAATTGGGGTCTGACGGAATCATGTTTATTTCGGCGCAAACGCCGGGCAGAGATTCTAAACTGCACCGGTAATATACTATAGACACAAACATGAGACATGCATAGCGTCGTCAGAAAGTAAATGTATATACTGTAGGAATGCCACCCAGGGAAAGGATCGTCCTGATCACCTGCAGAAGAAACCAAGGCCAATCCTCTGTCTTCCACCAGAACTCAAATCCAACCATGCTGCACAACACCAACAATCATGGCCACATGTACAAGTCACTCTGCTCACCAGGTGCTCTTCGGTTGACCGGATTCGGTCGGCTGTAGCACAAGGTATCAGATACCCACGACTTGAGTGTTGGTCTCCCTGAGCACGCGCAGCAGCATAGCCAGTCAGCGAAATAGTCGGGTGGCACAGTGTCACCATGGCTTGCACATAGTCAGAAGACCAGATGGCATCTGTCCTCCTCCGACCGCCGAGGGCATTTGGCAGTAGCTTTTCCACTCCTGGGCTCTCCTCAAATTATAGCACCGTAGGACTGTACACTGCATGCGGTAGACCCAGTTGGCATTGAGATAGTCTCAATCGCTTGATCGCCCCAGCGAACTCGTACAGACGGCTAATGCACCTGCTGTAATAGTCGAATCATGAACCGCCCTTCTTGTCCAGAGCCTTGTCGTTACGCATTCTGTTGTCGTTCGCGACGATCGTGTGGCTCCTGATTGGTACTGAGATGAGATCACATGGTCATCGGAGATATCACTATACAGAGACCAGCAAAAAAAGAAAGCGAATCTCGAATGAGGAAATCTCCCGACTGGTACCCAGTTCACGCCGCTGCTTTGGCGGGATCCGCCGGGGCCTGCGGGATGGACTTAGGCTCAGATGATGCTTCAATGGCCAACGGTGATTCATCCGAGCCATCATCTTCATCGTCACTCGAAGAGTCAACCTTTCGTCCGCGGCGACGGTCTTCCTCGCGACGTCGACGTTTTTCTTGAATATACTCATGATAACGAGCATCTAACTAGTTGTCAGTATGCAGGCTCTACACCGAACCAAGGTTCTTGGCACATACCTCGAATCTCCTGCGTTTTGACGGCGTACGCTTGAATCTCTTCCTTGCTCAGCACACGTAAAACAATCACAAATTCAGAACGTTCCTCAAAACGTTCGCGGCCGAGTTCCAAGGCAGCCGGGTTGACCAGTCGCCTATCAATCTTTGTCCACCTAGCACCTGGAGGAATGCCCTTTTTGTGAGCATCTTTCAGAGGTGCCACGCCTTCTCGCACAGGGTTTGGCTCTTCGGGAAATTTGGCACGTGGCGGCTTCAGGATACCCTTGGGGGCAGGGGGATCCTGATCCTTCGCGGCTGCCGATTCATGCTTCTTCAGCTCATCAGGGGAGCTGAGTCTTTCCTGCTTGGTACCATCCTTGGCCGACGTGTCCTCTGTACGACGTCTCGACTGTGATCGAGGACGAGGAGCACGATTCACAGTCAGGTACGGAGATACCCGGTCGCTGCTGCTCGCTGAGGCGTCGGAGCCATCTCGCCTTCTATGTGCCGACGGTTCGCGTCGGTATTTCTTCAAGTCCTCGTCGGATGTATATGAATCGGAGTCGCTCTCGTCGCGACGTCGGGACCGTCGTCTCCGGGATCGACTATGGTGTCGCCTGTTTTCATCCTCACGACCCACGTCACGGGAACGATGGTGTTCGGTCCGAGGAGAAAGCCCATAATCAAAGTCATCAGGGTATCCTAGAACAGCGGTTCCCAGCCCGGTGCTCGTCCCGGAGATGACTGAAGCTTTAGATGAGGACTTCCGTGATGAACGATCGTCACGAGAGTACCGATCGTCATCATGTCGTCGATGCCGGCGACGACGGTGACGATGATCTTCGTGCTCCGACCGGTAAGAAGAGTAACCCTCATCAACATCCTGGTGCAAGGAAACAGGGACTCTTTGCAGTGACCGCCGTCGAGCGTTCGAGCTCTCCACATCGCTATCAGCTGAACCATATGTTGAGCGGCGCACACGGCCCCCTTGGTCAATGCGATCAAACCCTCTCTGTGATGGAGGCGGTCCCAGTGCCCGGGATTCCTTTCTCGATTGTAATTGAGGGTCATCCGGGCCAGTCAAGCTAAGGGGTCTATCCCTGTGATAAGCACGCTGATCACGGCGCATTCTGGCAGCAGAGTCCTTCTCAAATTGTTCACGGGGGTTCGTGTAGGAATAGGCATCATAATCATCAATGTCTTCTCCTTTTCGAAGACCCCCGGTCGGCGGATAACGCCAGCGAGGACTGTGTTCATAGGCCGGGTAGGCATTGTGAGGGATCCGTGCCATGGCCATCTTGTCCGTCAGGTCTAGGCGGCCAGTATCACTTGCATAATCGGTGCTGGAAGGATGATGACGTCGGTGGTGTCTGTGCGAAGATGCGGGAACCACGTAGCGGTCTTGGGCTCGCTGCGGGCTTGGAGACCGGTGATGACCCGGAATTATCACGGGGGATGCCCTGGATAGAGGGGATCCAGAAGCATCATATCGACCGGGGGCGTACTGGATTTCGACAGCGGAGGCGGTATTGCTCCTCTGCCTTGGGCGGATAGCGTACTCAGTCCTCAATTTGGTCGAGTGGCCGGGGTCACGGTACGTTGTCGAGGAGATCGGCTGTGCCTCCAATCGCGGCTCTCGCGCATATCGTGAATCGTAGGATGGGATGTAGTTGACATCGGGGTGATAGCCTGAGTGTGCTGAGCGATTGGTGAGATCGTATGGATCGTAGGAAGAACTGAGCTGCACAGTGCCGGTGGAGGCGCGCATGGGATCCATCATACGCGAGCCGTTGGGAGACATGGGCCGGTAACGCACAGCGGGACCCATATTCTGTACCCTTGCAGACAGCAACAAACGAGATCCGACCGGGAAAACGTAGCAGATGGATGACAATGTACGGGGTCACAAAAACTCTGTGACGTCCGGAAGGATAAATTGGGAGCAATCAGAGAGGTAGAAATCACTGGCGGGAAAAATAAAGACACGGAAAATAAAAAGAAAGGTTGGTGGATTGGGAAGAGAAAGAAAAAAAAAGGTTATTTTGGGCACCAGGCCAGAAAGCTATAGAAGATGACGATAAAGCCCGAGGGGCGAAAAGAGCTCCAGATAAGACACAGCACCCGACAAGCTCGATAGCACCAGAGACAGAGAAGGAAAAACTCAAGTCAATTGAGCTTGATGCCTGAAGCCACAGGCCACCAGACCGAGGACCGGGAGGGCGGGCAACACCTAATATAGGTATGAAAGGCTGGCAAGCACGGACTGATGAAACTGGGAAATTTGACAGTGGATCAAGGGGGAGGGGTTGAGAATGACTGAGGGGTCAGTCGAGGAGACAAGAAATTGATCAGAATGAAATGAAGATTTGGAGCAGAAGAGCACTGCTTACAGCAAAGCACAGAGACCCGGAGACCCTGGAGCTGTGATCGTCACCCGTTTGAGAATGGAAGAAGGTGTGACGCAAGACACTGGAGAAGTCTCCAGTGCACACAAATCAGAGGAAGATTGATACCAATCCACTTCCACCAAGACACACCCCATACAAGAGCGGATATGAACGGAATCCCCACTCGCAAACCAGTGCAGAGAGTGTACGGAGTAGACCGCGCGAGTTTGCGATTGTCTGATCCAGAAGATGCTGGCGAGAGGAGAGTGAAGATGAAGATGGAGATGAAGAATAAGAAAGAAGTCCAAGTTCCTTCAAGGTTATAGTATCTGGTAAGGTAAGTGGTCGAATATACGAGATGGAGGAACAATGGAAAGATGATGGATGATGGAAGGAAGCAAGCAAGCAATGCAGTGCCTGCTTGAGTAAGCCGAAAGAAGAACTCAAAGCCTAAGGCAGCCACAGCCGGGAAGATGGCAGGCAGGAAAACGTGCAGCCAACCACGGTTGGCCCTCGGCTCTCCCGCCACGGTCCGTGATTGGGTTGAAACCAAGTTTACGCTTACTTCATCCACGGGCCATAAGTGAGTTACATTCAACTTAACCTTCCGTCCATTGACAATTTGACACTGAATGGAGTCGATGGACCATTCCATTCAACTGTCTTGGACTCTTAGTTTTTCTTCCAAGTTGGTCATTTCCAGTCCTCTACAGGCTCTCTCTCTTTCGCTGTCTGTCTCGTCCTAGTGGAGACTATCCAATTTCTCTTACACTCATGGAATTGTTCTTCCCTAACCGAGAACAATAGGACCTTCGAGTCCCCATACACACAAGACTACTGTATCAAATCCCCCACTATCCTCAGTTCCCACCCCTTCCCCCCTTCCCTCCCCTCTTTCTTTCTGCTATTTTTTTTTTCACAAACTAGGGGTAGATGGGACACTAACACACTATGCTATGGCAGAGTTATTCCCATGTCGATTCTCAAGATTCGAATCCAACCCAACCCAACCCAACTCCCATTTCCAGTCCTCGTGCCCCGGCTAATTACCCGGTGCCGTTACCCACCACGTTACGACTCGCCAAGCAAGGAAAGCGGATGACATCACGCCGAACAAGTCTGCGGCCGTCGGCATGTTGCTCATGGCCCCATTCCGGAGCCGACCACCATCAGCCCGAGTAACATTAAAGGGCTGTGAATGGTCCGGACTCATACCAGTGGGGTAGGGCGGGCTTTCTAGAAGGACAGGAAGGCGACCAGTCTGAAGCAGTCCAGTCCAGCGCTCACAGCCTCGCAAGCAATTCCCCCCCCCCCCCCCGCCTCTAGACTAGGCTGAACGCCCACCACTAACACTGGGTACCGTCGATCCAGGGGGCGGTGCTCGATCACAGTTGCTCAATGGATCTTGCTTGCAGTCTATCTGTGTCAATTGCGGACCTTTACATCTGGATCCGCCCCGCGGGTCTTCTCGAACACTGACATTGGTCTTCAAAGACCCAAGAACCGGGAACGCTGTGCCCTGCAGTAGCCCCGGTCGCAGACGATGCTGTGTCGGCCTCGTGGCAGGCCCGAAGAGTCGGCCCTCGAAAAGCCCTGGCCGGGTTCTGCTGTCAAGCAAGTGACCAGGAGAGCCTTCACATGCCTTGGGCAAATTTTGCCCTCTCTGAAACAACGGCGACCTTCTGCTTTGGTCAAGAGATGGCCCTTGCTACTGCTATTACCCACCTCCGCCGCTTCATGAATTGCTTCACGAGCCGGCCCGAGTGCGCGATTTACGTTGCGTGCCTCAGTGTCCATTTTCAACCCACTAACCGAGATGACTGGAGTCTATCCTTACAAGTCTTTGTCCCCGCCACATCGCTAGAAAGCATCCCGAAACGAATGTGACACGGGAGGGAAGACTGTACTGAAACAACTCCTAGTAAGTCATCCCGGTGAGATCTTCGTTGCACGGAATCTTAAATTATGATGATCTATCATCACGGGACTTTAATCAATCCCCCTCCTCCCCTTGAACTTCTTATCTCCCCCATGCTTTTGAAGATGTCTCGTTGAGATACAGCGTGCGCATCTGTTCCTCGAGTAATCCTGCTAAGGGAGCTGAGCTGCCAGGTACCATGCTCGAGATTTATGTACAGCTGACCGTTCCGAGGCCAATCACGGCAAGAACAGAGGAGACTCATCGTCACCACAAGGCTGATACATTGCCCGCCCTACCGGCCTGAATTTTGCAGGCTTAAGCCTACCGCATTGGACTCACGTCCATTAGCACAATTGTACTTCACTGCCGTGACAATCATCCTTTGACTCACAAGTGAATAGATTATATCAGGCGTCTACTTTCGTGTATCACCTTTGACCTCGAAAGAGGCTTGCCTGCGAGCGTCCATTCTCGGCCTTTCGTCGTGGCTTAATCGCCTGGGCGGTGAAGCTTGAGCTAAACCAGCATCAAGATCCTCTTGTGTGGTTGGTAAACCGATTCTCCTCAGCTGCGATGGTGGCCAGGGCTCTATCTTGTCGCAGCCCAAGTTTCCCCGGGTGCATGACGTTTGGATCATGAGCATCTCAACGATGACCTATGATGCAGTCGTGCAGAGAGTCACCCATCCTTTGACACAAGGAATGAAAACATTAAAGCTTCACAATGGAGATCCGGCACGCCTTCCATCTTTGACATTGAGCATCAACAAGGGTGCAACAGCCTTCTTGTCAATTGAAAGCAGACATTACAGACAACCTATTCACAGCTCTGCATATTCCATATCAACCTAGCTCAAATACCCTCACACAATATCGTTGCTAACAGCCCTCCTCAAAAGGAGCTCCCCCAACTGACTTGTTCCCGGTCACCACAATCCCTCAATGATGGTCTACTGGCCCCAAGACCTCTCTCGCGCCACAGCCAGGAGCTTCAACACCCATGTCTATACTCCCCCTAGCGCTGCTAGACCATCCATGGCCGACTGGTGGATTTGCTGTGCCTGCGGCTCGGAGAACAACCCTGCATTGAGCTCCGGCCGATGCACAGTTTGCAACCACGCAGCTTGTCATTCCTGTCAACAGGCATAGCCGTGTTCCGTACGGGGTCAATTCACGGCTCTGCTCGCCATGGCTCGACAATACAATCATCCATCCACATAGGACTATGATCCTCCTACACCCCTCACCATTGATCATATCCTCCGTGGCATGTGCAATGCGTCTCCAACCTCAAGTCCTACTTCTGCTACACACAGGTGGCATTCATGTATTATGGCACCTTTCTCCGGGGATGTCTTCCTCTTTAGCACTGATTTGTTCTAGCCTTGTCATTCCAATTCTACTGTGAAGGGTACATATCTTCATAAAATTCAGCGATTGGATCCCAGGCGTCCTCGTTGGAGCAGACCCTCAGACAAGCCGCGACACGGCTCTCGTCGCGTCTCCATCTTAGCCTTGTCGAGCGCACCCACAAGTAGAAGCTGACAGCCGTAGCAGTCAAGATACAGGCAGACGCTTCCCGCAAGCAAGCCCACCAAAATCTCCAGTTCTGAGATAGCTGCACCCACATTCCATGCACGTATTGCTCCAGGGCAGCCAGCCCATCTGAACGGCCAAGCCCAGCTCAACCAGGGCAGACTGCGCACTTTCCGTCCGCGGTTTTAGGGGAGATGAGAACGACTACACATATGCGTCATTTAGCAGATTTCTGCTCGTGCTCCAATTAAGTTGGTGGGAGGCTCTGGAGGGAATGTACTGGAGGCGGGTATCTTTCGACGAGAATGTTGGGTATATATGTCTCGGCAAGTGGGGGCCTACTTCCAAGACGGAAATTGGGTATGCTTCATCATGCAACACGACCCCGACGGTACTCCTCATGCAGTACTAGTATTAATTCAATTAGCCCGAGTAGAAGTAGAATCGAGAGCTCTCTATACACATAACAAGAGGACCGGTGCGCCTGACCACCAAGTTGGACATGAGAAGGTCTAACCTGAAAGAAAAGAAAAAAAAAATAGAGAAGAAGAGAAGGCGGAAGAAAAAAAGTCCCAGCCACAGGCTGAACTTCAGATTAACGTAATCAAAATCGATGGCATAAGTAGTCTCTCGCGCTTCTTTGAGCTCAGGTACGTTTAAGGACGAGTCTCATCCAAAGCTGGCTTCTCAAGCCCAGCCTCTCGCTTCAGCCGCGACACCACGGGCCCAAATGCAAAAAAGCTGTCGGAGTCCTTACGGACGGCGCACGGACTCTGCTTGAGTGGCACAAACCAGTCGATGATGTTGTAGCCAAGCACCTGCTGGAGGTTCTTGACGGGGCCTCCGAGGTCGAATGGGTTCTCTCCGGGTAGGGTTTGGAGGATTGCGAAGATGTGTTGTTCCCCGGGTGGCTGGTAGTTCTTCTGGGCCTCGGGAGTGAGGGGCATCGGGGGTAAGGGGTACGTGATGGTGCGGAAGGTCGGGGCCCAGCGAGAGTCGGGATTGAGTCGACCGAGCAGATGGTTCGGCACGCGAATGGCCAGAGTCCACACGGCCGACCGACGATTGATGTTTTCGATCGTTGTCAGGTTCAGCATGGCGAGTTGCATAGAGCTGAGGGTCATTCCAAAAGTGAAGAGTCCAAAGAAACCGCTCCTAAATGATGATGTCAGGACGGTTGAGAGGTATGAAGAGGGACGCGAGATGAAGACTCACAATCCAATTCCAACAGCCAAATGAGGATTCGCACCGCCAGTCTGTTCAGCAAAAACAGTTTAGTGGAGAATTCCGTTGAGGCTACATCGCAACCATACCTGGCGTTTGATCTCGGCAGTAAACACCGCACAAACAACTAAGCAAAAAATGCAATAGAGCGCAGTGTAGAACACAAATTGAATGAAGAATTTGAAGGATGTCTCAGAAACCACCCCTCCGACCCTGCAAGCTAAGTTAGTACTACCACATAGGCAAGGCATATCCGGGAGAAATCCTCACCATGGGCAGAAATGATCCATCTTGCGAACACACCGGTCGACCTCCCGACAATGGTGAGTCCGATCAGGCTTGAAATGACAACATGTGGAGCAGTATAAAGGTCGGCCATCCGGCTGGCAAACAAAAACGTCTTTGGTGTAAAAGGTCTCCATCCCATGTGTATCCCAGGGAGTCATGTCCCCATCAGCGGACGAGTCGGCCCCACTCTCCACATCTCTATCTATCGCATTGGCCTTTTCCGCACTTCTATGCCGTCGATGTCTCTTCTTCTTTCGATGATGGCGACCTGATGACTGGGGTGGAGGCTCAGTTTCTGCGGGCGGAGGAGCTTTTCGCGGCAGTAGCCCGGCATTCCAGGTCACAGTATACAAGAGTCGCATGTATGTTGTCAGAACGAGCAGGAGAAGAATGTAGTAGATCACGAGGATGGCGACTCCCACGCCAGTGCGACTGTCGCGGTCATACTTGGAAAGGGGATGGATCAGATAGTCGACTATAGGAACGCACGCTTAGTAAACCAGATCAGCCAACGAATTCTCGTCTGAAAGAACTCACTGCATAAGGGCTTGGTGATTGCGTAGGACGCATATATAAAGACACATAATAAGAATGGAGGGATGGCCCTGGCGACCGCTAGATTGATGCGCCTGTCAGGCCGCGCCATTGGAAGTTAACCGCGAGACGGGTTGCAGGCACCTCCGCATCGGAGAATTGTCAGGGTCGGCAGGGGTCGCTCTAGCCTGCAAATGTATCCATATTCTTGAGTCTAGACAGGCAATGGATATATACAGTCGGGACCCGGTTAGAAGAGATAAAAGACAATCGCCCTGGCGGTGCCTGATGAACGAGGATGGATGGGCACGGGGGGAGGGGAATTTGGGGATTGGGGATCTTGATTCCGACCAAGCACGTGGTTTGCAAACCAGGCAAACACCGCTCATGATGTCATGTCACATGACAGGGCTTATCGCTCGAGTACGGGAGTAACTTGATAGATGCTCCATTACTACTGTGTACATAACGTATTACGCTGAATTCATTTTTCTCACGGTGAAAATTGCCGCGCTATACAGGCCTCACACTATAGAGGGACTCCAGAGACTGACAATGAACTTTGGCCCCAATATCCCGCTCAATGCATGACGATATCATCATACCGGGATGTGAGTTATGACCTCGAGGCTCAAGCCGGCAACCCCGGAATCGCTCATATGTTTTGTCGAGCGTGAGACACACGTGTCTAGTGCGGCTCAACTAGTGATTGTCCTAGATCGGTACTAAGATCCGTCCTCTCGGCCACAAGCTATCCGCGCGCTGGCCAAAGGCTTCAATCTTTTTGCCTGCTAAACCAAACTAAATCCCTCTCCTCGTGGATTGTCTTTCAGTGTGGGGACGTTTCATCCATGTGGTAGCCTATGTATCTGAGAGCCATAATTGTATCCTTTGAGAGCTGGAAGTGGGGGAGCGAGTAACGATAGCCGTAATGGACTCTGGGGACGCTGAGATCCTGCTTTCGCAAGCCCCGTTAAAGTTGCCAGCTATGACGCGCAAAGGAAAACGGTTTGCCAGGGGTTACACGGAATCATCTCCACGGCATACCGGTGATATGACTATGAGTAATAGTGACAAGCAGAGCTGAAGTCTGGAGTAAGGCTTCCAGAACCAGCCGGGGCAATGAGAACATCCAGTGGGCAGAGGTCGAATGAGAAGCGATCATTACAACTGGGCTTTCGAGCCGTGAAGAAGAGAATTGGGGCTGGTCGGTTTCAAGGCACACCAGACACGAGGGGCTATAGAGGCTAAGCGTCATGATCAGAGTCGGGGACTCCGAACAATACTGGTAGTAGTAACCGACTGAGAGTCAAGGGGAGGGACAAAGGACAAAAGTCCGATGGGGAACGGATCGAAACATTAGCAATAATGCAGCGTGGAGAAAAAGGGAGAAAATGGAAGTTAGTAATGAGCGCGAGCGAGCGATCAGTCATCGCGATGGTTACCAAACGTCATTTGCAAAAGGGCATGTGCCACACGACGGGCGTTGATGGCTTAGGCAGAACTAGTACGGGTGCCTGCTTATTCGCAGAAAGCCCGGCGTTCGTTGACCGACAGAATCGTCACGAGCAAGCAGAAGAATCCTCCTAAAACCCAGGGAGATAGACGGTAAGAGTCAGAGCTTCGCATTGCATCTAGAACTCGATCTCTGGGCAAGGTTGCCTGAATCCACGGGCACTGGATGACCACCAAGTGGAGCTCGTTTCCAGGCCTCAGCCAGGCAACACAGCACAGCACAGCGCGCGATTATCAAACTGATATTCCAGCCAAGAATAGATGAGTAACGAGGAGGTTGTGAGTAGGTTTAGCTGCTAGAAGAGGAAAGGAGAAGAATAAGCCAGCCAATTTGAAATCAAAATAATAATCAATTTTAAAAATAAAGATGGGTGAGTGAGTGTAAGTAAATTGAGCCTTGGGAGTATTGAGTGGGTTTCCTCAGGGGGGAAAAAACGAGAAAACAGTTAGTTAGTTAGTAGTCAGTAGGAACGGGTTTACTACCACTCAGTAAAGACAGCGGGCGGAGTGGACGGGCAACCGAAAACGAGCCTCCATTTTCCAAGCCTCGCTCGCCCGGATTCCGCTACTGCGATGATACCCGGTGGACCCTTGCGAAATGTCGATTTGACTCAACTGGCGCGCATATCTTACGATGTGCCCATGCAACCTATTCCAGAATGATTCAAACTGACAGCCCTCGACAGCTGATAGTTCGAACCGCCAAACGGTCCCGGCTTTTCCCTCCTGCCTGCAACCCACCCAAACCCCTTCCTTCCCCCCATTCCCATTCCCCCAAAAAGCAACGGAGAGTTGCCAAGCCACCTTGACGATGATCGATTCTGAAATGGCCCCGGGCTCTGATCAGGTATAGCACCTGCTTATGACTGAGATGAAGACAAGCCTAATTCTAAAGGGCGCCTTTTTGTTTTTTTTTTGTTTTGTGCAATCAGCCACAATGGCAGCTCAGGACGCCTTGTCTGAATCATCGCTAGCGTCGTCTCTCTTTCACTTTCTCACTTGTTGTAACATCCTAAGATTGCTTAAATACAGCGGCGCAGTCCTCAGGATGGACTTCACTTCTATTTCCTACACACAATACATCCTACAGAATCATTGACACCTGCAACTCATCCGCTATCGGCGCCTCTCTGCTTCTATACAAGCTTGACTTCAACCACAACCACCTACCACCATCAACATACCTACTATCATCAACTTAGTCACCTATCAAGCTCCTCATTCAATCATGCCTGGTTTCTGGACTTGCTGCACCTGCCTTCACGGCCTTCACCAGATCGATCTTCACACAGAGTGCCTGCAGTGCGGCCACCAACGCTGCCCCAGCTGCCCTGTCGACAACCGCGACGCCGATATGTCGCTACACAGCTGCCACGAGATGTCGCCGTACCCCTCAGCTCCAGCACACTCAGTCTGCGCACACTCGCTAGACGCTCCCAGGCACAGACACGTGCCGTCGATGATGGACTGCCGAAACCCGATCCCTCAGCCACTAACAGTCTTCGGTGACGTACGGCGTCCCTGCCTGCAGGATGTTGCCGGCCAGCGACTTCCAGAGGATCGGGCGCAGACGCGGGGGAACCTGTACTTCTGCTGCCAGTGTGGCGATGGGCCAAAACTGTATCAGAACCAGCCCCGTTGTGTGATGTGCCAGCACGTTGCCTGCTCCAATTGCACGCCGGTGAAATAGATCTACGACTATGTTGTGATGTTGAAGGTAAGGTCGACCCGGAACGTTCTCCACAGGCTCGGTGGTCAGAGGGCTAATCATCCGCAGAACTCAAGAGAGGCTATGCTATCAGTGTCTCGAGGCCGAATTATTATTATTTTCTAATTTTCTGACGTCGTTTTGAGCGTTTCTCATCATGAGTTGCATGAAACATGAAACAGACATGACCAGGAGTCACGGGCCGTTTGCATTTTGCGATTTTTTCTTTTTTTTCTTTTCGATTTTAAACTGATCTTGCATGAGCGGGTGCATATACCACGATACATTTTCTACTGTCAGCTTTGGCCTTTTTTTGTCTTTTCTGTTTTCTTCTTTTGTCTTTTTTTTCTGGCTGAATTTTTCGTTTCTGCGCAACTGTACTAAATATACGGCTTAGACTGGGGCGGCTGCCGAATTGAGCAAGCGGGCCTTGCTCGGTCGTGCAAGCCGCGAGGAACGCCTTGGATGGTGGATTTGTGGGGGTTTATATTTTTTTGTTCTGTTTGTTTCAATTGACGATCTCCTTCTCTCCTCTGTTCTATGAGTTCGATGATTATTGTTATAGAGTGGTATTTCTCCTTTCTATTTGTCAGGCTAGATTACTTTCGGGTCGCAGCAATGTACACCTCCTCTATCTTTTTATCATCGGTCAATCTCTAATAAATCAATAGTTGACTTAGTGAGTTGACTACTATATCGTAGTTATGCTTTAAAGGGTACGAGGTACCCGTGGGTCCCGCATTTCTGGCAGGCAGAGACAGACAGACAGACGCCTTGTTGCCTGGCGTAGGAGGGGACCCGAAACCCTAGTTCCATCCAGACTTTCTTCCTGCCATGCCATCGCGTGTGTTGTTGACTTCTCAAACTTACTTACTCCGTAGTCCGCAGCTTCAGTCATCAGTGTAGACTTGTCTCGTCCTCCTAGGCGTAAATTTGTCAGAGAGACTAGTTAACTAATTTAGACTTGCCGGGCCCGGGTCAGGTCACGGGCCATGACGACAAGTGACATGGGTTATACTCTTGTATACCTCAGAAGATATTGTAAGCTTCCCTTTTTTTTTCGGGTTTGTAAGCCTGGCAGCGTTTCCGCCATACAAAAAACCGCTTAACTAATGTTGTCGTATCTAACATTTGTCAGGTTCGTTCAAACCCCAATCACTTAAACCCAACTAAGCACCCGGGTTTCCCGACACTTGGTGTAATGTATAATGATCCAAGCAAACATAATTATAGTAGCAGCTTTTTTTTTTGACCCTCACACACACAGCCCTGGAAGAGAAGAGTGTGCGCGAAAGAAAAACCCGAACCCATGGGAACATAGAAACCTGGGGCTGACTGCATTGCACATTGCACACTGCACTGCACTGCACTATGCTGCGAAGATGGTTCCGCACGTGTTGGAAATCTTTTTTCTTTTTTGGGTTGTTGTGTACAAAAAAATCAAATTGGGAAAACCATACTTTTCCATCTGGGCTATGCGGATCGATGCAGTGGATGATGGGGACGAACCCCGTATTCCAGAACTTTTTTAGAGAATGGGCGTTTTACACAAAACCGTTTGCCTGCCATTTTTATTTTCTTTATATCATTTTCTCCTCGTGCATGTGCCATCTTAGAATAGCATGGTGTAGCTTTTTTATTTTTATTTTATCTTTAATTTGATTGATATTTTCTCGCCGAGCCGCAAAAGTCTTGGTACGGAAATCTTCCGCTATGACTGGCTAACCGTCAAGGTCGGGGAAGCGAAAAAGGTATAGATTAGATGAGGTCGCGGGGGGGGGGGGGGGGAAGCATGGATGGGAATGCAGATCATGCAGCCACAACCTCGATGACCGTCAATCCGGGATACTAGATAACTTACCAGGTAGTCTAGTAAGCAAACACCAACCAAAATCCCACCGCCCTTTCTCTCGGTATCTGTATGCAATCAACCCTATGGTTGGGGGGAAACTGGCGGTCTCGCGTCTGTCTGGCTGTGGCCGCAGGATTTTCTTGAGTGGTTCAGCTCGCGAGGATCGGCTGCAGTAGTGTGTAGTTTGAGCGTGGTCGAATACGGATGGGGGAAAGTGTAAGCATAGGAGCGTAAGAGAGAGAAGCATGACAGGTGCCTCGAGTTTGGCTTCCAAGCATTCCAAAGGAGTCATGGGCGGCAGGGCTGAGTAGAACTTTAGGTTTGGTGGATAAAAAAAAGTGGACCGTCGTCATTGGGTTTCGAGGGGGGGATTCGATTTTCTCCGACCTCGACGCGGTCGCACTGCTAACTTTTTTGGGTAATCTCTTTTTTCCATATCTGAGTTTCAGCTTTCGAGAATCAATAAATGAACAGAGAACCAGATAGAAACAGACAGCCTTAGGAACAGAACTGGTTGTGTACTAAAGCCCGCAATATCGGGTTGCCATTGGCCCATTCGCGTAGATGGTCTCCGCTATTCAGCTCGCTGGGAACTCCGGAGTATGGACATATAGTAAACCTGGACACATGGTTACTATACTATGCGTTTGGGGCCGTCTCTCTCTCAATCATGTCCTGATGGTATCTTTAGACCCTCTCTCGTTGCTTCGGTTCAATCGATCCAGATCATGTACAGCCTTTGGCCCATCCCGAACACGGGTCAAACGGTGTGTCTCGGACTCGGTGAGAAAAGCCACATGGTGTGATCTTGATATGATTAGGCTTAACGCTCCTTTCCACGTTTTTCTTTCTTCATGGCTCACCCATTCCCGAGGGGGCCAAAAATCTTCTTAACGCTCACATCCACACAGTCACACACACCCCCCCACCTACCTTCTAGTGGGTTTCGGAGTCTTCTCTTGCCTGCGGTGATCACTGCCTGCATGTACGACCTCCAAAATCCCCGAACTGGTAAGCAATGCGGTTCCGAGCCCGCGACTATATTCTGACCTGTGTCAGACGTCTGACCTCCCACCTTTCTTGTCGTTTCTGCAACTCAGCGCCTCTCCGGCATCCTATTTGTGTTCCTTACTCGACGACATCGACAAACGATCCGCCACTAAGCCTGATCCAGTCTGACGGACTGTTGCTATGTTTATATCGCGCCCTTTAACCGCTGCGCCAAGCCAAATATTCCCTGCCCACCACGTTGCACGCGAGCAGCAAGGCACAGGAAGTCTTTTTCTGGAACTGCGTGGTCAAGTCTCCTGTCAGCACTACTAACTCCCTCCGGGCACACCTTTCGGGATACTAAGAAGGAGACAGAAAGAGAAGAGAGAGGCACAATGTGTGCAATACTGACTTCCATTATCGCCGAGTACTACTAATCTGCATCATCATGAAGTATGGCTTAGCCCTTTAGAGCCGACGAAGTTGAACAGTTACCCCACCACCGGAGTCGGCGACCCACCGTTTTATTTGGGGGCCGCCGGTACATGATACGCAGGTTCCGCGGAAAGGGTAGTTTCAGCTGCGGTGTACCTCCACCACATGTACTGTAGTGTCTGTTTACCCGCCCGCCCGCCCGCCATGCGATGCTCTACTAGTACGTACTGTCTGTCCTCAGTCCTCGTCATGGCACTGCATTTCTCCATATTGAGATATCACCAATTTCAGATGATCGCTAATCATGTCGTGTCACTTCACGTAGTTCTATATGGTTTTCTGGTTCTCTTCTCTTACTGCCCCCATCTTTACGAGCTTTTTATTCTGGTGGTTGCTGTCATTGTTGTTGAGGTTATACAGAACGCCCATAGTCCTCCGCAGTTATGTTATTATCCAGTGCACGTCCACAGTATCTTTGCGATCACTCACAAAAGACAAACCCAAGCTCAATCACCACCATCCCAACCATGTCTTACTTTTTTTTCTTCTTCTACATTTCCCTTCATACATACACCTCTCCCTCTCCCCTCTTCCCCAATACCACAAGCCTCCCACTTTCTTTTTCCTGCACCTTATTTATTTATATCTAAGACAAAAAACCACATCAAGCATCGTCACCTGCCTCAAGCTCAAGCCCCAGCATACACCTGCATCCATACATATCAAACACAACCAACCAGAACCCCAAACCAGCAAAAGAGAATGACGACAACAACAACAACAACAACAACAACAACAACAACAACAACAACAACAACAACAACAACAACAACAACAACAACAACAACAAAAAACATACGCAAGCAACCCACATCTTTCCTGCGTGCCTGAGTCACAAACCCCGGGTCACAAGATCACAGATGACTCAACCAGTGCATAAGCGACCATCCCCCAAAAACCACCACGGAGTAGTTCACAGGCTTTGTAGGTAGCCGTGCACTTGCTCACTAACTCACTCACCTCCCGACTCCTGACTGAGTCAAGGTTAGTGCAACACAACGCGGCTAGCTAGCGTGGATGGATACCTGGGTTATTATGTTTGTGTTTGTGGTAGGCTTGTAAAAAAACACTGCCACAATTTCTCTGTCGTTCCCCCCCCTCCCCAGTTCTCCCAATCTTCTGCTTTAGAATTAAGAGGGTAATACTACACTATACAAAATGTTGAACGTCAGTTGCGGGACGGGACCGTGGGTGCGGGTGAGGGGTTTTTTTGGTCGTCATGCTCTGTTGACTCGACCACTCGACAGTCCTTACCTATAGTTAGGTCACTGCATTTAGTAAGGTACCACATCATCACGGCATGCCCCTCGGGGATCCCGAAATAGAGGCACACCTCAATGGATACCTCAGAAATACCTCATCCGGGTTATGTAGGGTTAGGGTACGGTGTCGGTGTGATGTGCCTTGGAGAGATGGGGACAGGAGGATAAAGAGCCTGAAGCACCGCACCCAAGGGCGCGCGGGCGCGGCGCCGCACCGCGCCCGGGATGCGTTCCTGGATTCCAGGCGGGGCTGCTCTGGCTCTGTGGTTCTGGGCTCCACGAGGCACTGCGGCACTTCACTCGCTGGGCGTCTTTTTCTTTGCGGACACTCGTTAGTCCAGGTGTAGAGAAAGGCTAGTCGACTGCGGACAGCCAGCACCGAACCCCCTAGTATGCCCCGGGTGGTTGTAGCAGGGTGGATCCCTCCTTTTTTTCCGACGCCAAGGTGCAATGTCGTAGTCTACCGCTAAAGTTCTTGCTAGTTCGAGTGCTAAGTGAACTGGTCGCTAGACGCCCCTAGCGGACGCTCCACGCGAAGGCGGCTGTGTCGCTTGTTAGTCTCCAGGTGGGACTGACGTAGTTTGCGTGCATTCCTTGGTTGGCGAGCTAGCATCAGGCTCTGGAGAGGAGGATCGCGTGGGAAGCTCCTTCTGAGACAAGGCAGAGGGGGAAATACATGCTACGACTCTACATGGTGGGTGGGTGGTCTTGCCCGAAAGAAAAGCATCAAAAATTTCGATAAGAGCTATGTATGTACTGTACTGTACTTCTTTCCTATGAACCCTGCTGTCTTCACAGCCCTATGACATCGGACTGTCGTGGATCGTCAATATGGATAGGATCGCATCCCGTACAATCGGAAAACCTGGTCAACTACTGGCGTTGCCATCACTCTCGCCAAGTCAGACCCTGAGTCTCCAGGCTTGCTGTCGTGTCGTAACGTGGGAAAAGTTGCTTTACGCCCACTTCGGTTAAGAGGCAAAAACAAGGTGAAGAGAAAATCATTCCGTCCAACGCCGGGCTCGTGCTTTTGTATGCCAAATAGCAAAAAGGAAAAAAAGAGTAGATAAGATAACAGCGCAATGCCCCTGGTAGTCGCTCTTGCTCAATAAGAGATGCCAGACCTCAAACGTTCAAAAAGAGGAAAGCCGGGGTTGCTTGTCCATGGTGAAGATGGTGGTGGAGGTGATGAAGGGGAAAAAAGGGGAGGAACTTTCAGGTATAGCTCAATGCTGGACAGCAAACGGCAGATATCTACCTGCACAGCTCCTGAGTGCATGAATGCATCGCACCTCACCTTGTTTAAAGAATGAGTAATCTTGACTGTCGCATGTTCCATGTCGGGGGTTACAATGGCAAGATCCGCGAAGGGTCTTGGAGGAAGCGTCTACGGTATGCGGCTATTTCCGCAGCCACGGTGCTAAAGTCTTTCACCTTGTCGCGTCGCATGTCGTTGATGATCTGCTTCAGTCCGGCAATGTATTCATCTTTCTCTTCCGGGGTTTTGCCCTCGCGGAGAGAGCCCATTTGGACCAGGATTTTGTCATCTGTCGAGGTTAACAAGCCTGTGTGTCAGCATCCGCACAATGCAAATCCGACCAACAGATCGAGTCACGATAGGGGATCAAGGGACAGAGAACAACAGCAGGAGAGTTGTGGTGAAAAGGAAAGGGGTCATGGGAAGATTGACACAAATAACCAGAGCCAGAGATGGCAAAGTCAATGTTCAGATCATCAAGGGATAAGTCTGCGAATAATGGTTTGAATCTGTCGACGCACCGCTAAGAGACATGTCTCGAAAGTGTTGAAATTCGCAGGATCGATCGTTGCAGACACCCCCCGCAGCCTCAAATGGACACAGGTATTTCATGGGGTCAATGTTGTGACTATATGTCAGAGAACGATAGCCGTGCGCAACATTTTCAACGTAGCTTGGGTGGTAGCGGTAAGCCTTGAAATGCTTTAGTGGACTATCGTATTGGGTGAATGTAGTCAGGCTGTCATAGGAATCCCGCTCATTCTACTACTCATTAGCATTATATTACTGGCCGTGACTGAGGAGTCTCGCACATCCAAAGGGCTGATTCGAGCAAAACTGCGTGGTTGGTGAACAGCCAAGCCCTGGTCATTTTCAGTTAGCGGCTCGCTAGCCTTAGTAACCTCGTTCGATGGAAATTCAGAGTCGTCGGTAGGCTCAACAGGAGCAGGAGAAGCAGGACTAAAAGGGGGTGAATAAGCGGAACCGGCTGGGCTTGCAGTCAATTCTGGCTCTGGAGGCTCATAGGCATCCGATACAGACGATTCACGAGATCCTCGGTCCTGTACTTCAGGTGCTGATCCCTCCATATGTTCATCAGACGTGATATTGGCCTGGGATTCGGTATTAGTGAGTTGCGATTGCTTTAGCGAGGGGTCATCCGATTCCGACTCGGCCGGGGTTTCCTGCTCAATCTCTGGCGCCTGGTCGTCATTGGCCTCGGGTCCCGCAGTGGCTGGCGCAGAGCTTCGGGCTACTGATGCTTCCGACGCGACCGACGCGGAATCATCGCTTTCGCTATCGCTATCGCTGGATTCGTCCATCGACGAACTCATCGAATCAGACGACGAGGTAGCCATTTGCTCTTCGTCAGCATCATCCATGACAGTATCTTTCTCATGCTCGGCATTAGATACCGCAACGTCCGAAGGAGATGCATTGTCTGTAGGGGGTACAGCTTCGTTATGCACGGGCACTTGGGCACTTGTTGGCTCGGGAACCTGATCTATGATAGGCCGAGGAGGCAATTCATGGGTAGTTGCTAAGCACGGTTCAATCAGCGGGCTACATTCTCCATGACAAAATACGAGGGGGACTTACCAGGGAGTTCTGAGTATGCGGGTTCTTCAGTCTGCAATTGACGAAGAGCTAAGTCGATGTCATCAAGTGTCACGCTTTGCAACTCCTGGCCAAGAGCTTCTAACTCATGTAAAAGCTGCTGGCGACCTTCTTTCCCCTTGGTGATTTGAGATAAAAGAGAGTTCTGCTCCTGATTCAACTCGGCCAGCCTTGCCTCGGACTTGTTTATTTCGTGATCCAGGGCAGGGATGCCAGACTCGATTTCCTGCTTCCGCAAGAGCTTGACTCTCATCTCTTCTAGTTTAAGAGCATCTTTAGGAAGTGAAGATACTTGTTCCACGAGCTGGGAGGTAGCCTCGTCAAGCTTGGGCACCTGAGTTGCATTGTTGTTCTCAAGAATGGCGACATCAGCCGTCACTGAATCAACAGTGGGCAGTGGCAAGTCCAGAGCACGAGGGGACTGGGTGCGACTCGCTGCTAGCTTCGCCTTTTTCCGTTCCTCAAGTTCAGCAATCCGACGGTGCATCGCCTTGATTTCCAAATCCTTGCGGCGAAGATGCTCCTGGTGCTCCTGATCGTGATTCCGTCCATTAGGGGTGACCGACGTAGAGAACCCCTGACTGAGTGATGTTGCTGGGCGCTGAGGTAATGAATCTGTGGTCATCGAAGTACTCCGAAGAAGTCTCTCGACGTCCTGCGACACGTTTCCTGCCAGCATATCAACGTCCATGCTATCATTCTCGTCATCCCCATAAAACTCATCGTCGCTGATGTCGATGATAAGCCTCGCAGGTTCAGCAACGACATGGCTTGACCCGTTCCCGAATGACTTCTTAGGCATAGGAATGGGCTCATCGAAATCAGAAGCTCGCGGTCTCTTGCGTTGATTGGTGCGTGTTTGGGTATTTGTATCAGCAACATGCTGAACAGGCGCAGCACTCGACTCTTCCGTGATTACAGGTTCCTGGGTTTCAGTCATGAAAAGCCCTGGAATACGGGATTGGGGTGAAAATTCCGGGTCCGGCGGGCGCTCAGGCAAAGGGTGCTGAATTGGAGCCAAGTTCGCGGCCTGTGGGGTATCTGGATTTTTGTTGTTGTGCTCTTCATTTAGCTCAGATGGCGTGGAATCTGGCTGCGATTTCTGCAAAGTCCTCATTAACCCTTGTTTCTTGAGTTGTTCAATTCTTTGTCTGGCGAGTTCGGTTTGTGCTTTATTCTTCTCCTTAACCCGCGCTTCTTTCTCCAGCGTCGGAGTGTCGCGCGAGGGAAGTGTGGTCATTTTGCCGGTATCAAGAACGTTCGAGCTCGGAGGAGGTATGGTTTCTTTGGCAGCTTCGGTCTGTGACGGCGTGGATGTGGAGGTCTTGGCCGCCTTCGCAGCAAGCATACGGGCAATGACTTCCTTCCGCTCCATTGGTTTGCCTGCTGCAGCCTGCTGTGTAGATGGGGGAGGTGAGACAACAACATCCATAGGGTCTTGCTGCGCAGCAGCCTTCGGAGAAGTCGCAACCTTGGTCCCTGTTTGATCTAGGCCGTGCCCTGCAGTACGACCACTACTGGAGGAGGTTGAACTGGGTGATTTTGAATCGACATCCGGTTGCGGAGTGGAAATTTTGATGCCAACGTCCTCGTAAAGTTGACGAAGAACAAGGGGGTCAATGCCTTCTCTCACCAATTCATGGTACCGAATATTGTGAGGAGCTAAACTCAGAAGAGCCCCTTGGGCCTGAACGCGCAACTGAGCCGTGGGCTTCGCGTCGAACCATAGTTGGTCTGGATGATCATTGTTCGCTGGGTCGTATGTGTTGTCGCTGAGTAACTTGGACGCAACGGCAACATCGAAGCCGATAGTGTTCGGACAGGGAGATTCAGCACGTATTGTAAGAGCAGGGTTATAAGCTGCCAGAATGTAAGCAAGATAGATCAAAGAGATGAAGGGTAGGTGACATACGAGAGCCACTGCTCCGAGATGACGAAAGATCTTCCAATGAGTCGGTACTCGTTACGTTCAATCCTCCCTTCTGAGTATCTCTAGACGATATGGGTACGGAAGAACTTGCGGTGTCTCGGACGTTGGCGCCAGGTAATTTTTGAGAATAGCCGCGCATGCTGCTCACTTCTCCATTCACTTTCAGGTGTCCTTGCACATCTTTCTGCGGTCGTGACGATGCGGCAGCTGTTTCGGATCCCTTTGGTTGAGACGGCAGGTCATCTCCATCAGTAAGCTCGCCTTCTTCTCGATCCAGGTCCATGTTGGAGTTGGATGTGCTCGAAACTTGTGAATCCGCTGGAGTCGAAATCTCTTGACCAAGGCGGGGCTGTGGTTCACTCGGTGTATAGCCGGATTGGTGCATAGCAGGGGCGGAAGGCGCTGGGATAGAGGGATATCTCAGAGGCGGCATCTGAATTGGAGGAAATGGCGGGGGTGGGAATGGAGAAGAGGTGAACGGGGCCATGAAGCCGAACAGCGGCGGCGGTATTTGTCCAAGCGCGCCCGGGCCTCCGAGCCCCGGCAGATGTGAGTTGGCCATATGGCTATCTTGATTACCAGGAAGCGCAGCTCCTTCGAGGTGGGAGGGTGGAACGGGGGCCTGGTTGTGAATATAGGGAAAATGATGATGAGGAAGTAAGGAAGGCATGGATGAGGAGGGGGTCGGGTTTGACGGGGGCCACTGATGTGGTGTATGATTTGGTCCCGCGAAGGAGGGTGTCGGAGGGTAGTTTGACATGGTTAGAGGGCGAATGGACAGTTAAGCATGCAAACAGGTAGATGTAGGTATCTTCTGGACCGAGTAAGTAAAAGAGCAGCTTTGAAAAAAGTCTACAGCGTAGGTTTCAGGTATCGCACATCGGATGGAGGGAGGTGGGTGGGACTAAAGTAATAATCACAGCCGAGTCATGAAAGGAGGAAAGAAAAGTCGCGTCGGGGAGAAAACCAGCAGCAGCGCACTTTGGCTATACATGAAGGTATCTATGCCATATGCGGAGTAAGCACGTATCCTTACTTGATCAGTGAAGATAACGCGACTACCGAGTGAAGGCGAGTGATGCGAAAGGGAGAAGGGTAGTAGGTAAGTTTAGCGTATGTGGTATGTGTAACGGAAGGGGAGGTTCAGGTTGAGTGAGTCTCGCTCCAGACCTTCAGAGTTCAGACTCTCCCGAAAAAAGATCTTGGGTCACGTGGCGTGACGGATGCACAACCGATGCGGACTAGACTAGCAGCCGATCTGCACCCGCGGGAACGAGGAACGAGGGACATAAACAAACAGACGGAGAGAGAGAGAGAGAGAGGGTGGAGCTGGTCAGTCAGTCAGTGACGACGCTGGCTGGTGGTGACGCTCCAAGTCTACCTAACTTACTACCTTACACTCTCCACTCCTTGTTTCTCTCGATCTAATCTTACATTTCCCTTTCCCTTTCCCATTTCTCCCACTCCCACCTTTTCAATTTCAAGGTTCCCACCTTGACTCCCCTCTTCTGCTACCCTTCTTCCAATTCGGCCTGCATGCTTCGCTAAGAGGCTACTAGACAGCTCTTTCTCTGGGCTTTCCTCGTCTTCATATCGTCCTATTGCTATTGTTATGACTACACGACCCTCTTGTTGAATAATGTTTCATTGTTGAATTAACGACGACATGCTTCCCTCTCAATCCAATGGCTCTCCCAAACGAGTCAATCCTTTCAGTCGCGCCACGCCATCACCGTCTTCCTCTCCCAGCCAGCAGGCAAGAGGGCTGCGCCCCAAGTCTGCTGTCGTTACATCGCCCAGTAAATTTCAAGAGGCACGAGGGCATTTCCGAAATGCTTCGTCAGTCTCGCAAGCATCTGTTTCTCTAGTACCTCGACCCGGAATTCGCCAGAGATCGGGCTCGTTGAGGAATGATGCTGCATCTGGGACCTTTGCGCCGGAGTTCATAAAGACAGAAGAGCTCCGGCGCGGAGCCGATCAGATCCGGGGTCTGGAAGGCGACAATGACTTCTCTGGGAACAAATATGTCTGGCTACGCGACCCTGAGAAGGCATTCGTACGGGGACTGGTGCTGGAGGAAGGTGAAGGTGGTCGGCTGCTAGTTCAGACCGACGATGGAGAGGTAATTTGCTTTGTATGACGGACCCTCGACGCATTATCTGACTTTCACAGCAACGAGAGGTCGAAGTCGACCAAGTGGACAAGGTCAACCCGGCGAAGTTCGACAAGGCTGATGATATGGCCGAATTGACGCATCTAAACGAGGCCTCCGTGGTTCACAACCTGCATACCCGATACCAAGCCGATCTCATATATGTGAGTAGCTCTATGAGATCCCGGATTCCATGCCCATTGAATCTAACTTATCATTTGTTAGACATATTCGGGTCTATTCCTTGTCACCATCAACCCATACTGTCCTCTGCCAATTTACTCCAACGAATATGTCAAGATGTACAAAGGACGAAATCGGGATGAAAACCGCCCCCACATATTTGCTATGGCGGACGAAGCATTTCGCAATTTGGTGGAGGAAGGAGAGAACCAGAGCATTCTGGTCACGTAAGTTCAATTCCAATGATGGTCAGGGAACCTGGCTGAAGTTAGAGCTGACGACGATGTCAAGAGGAGAGTCAGGCGCAGGTAAGACTGAGAACACCAAGAAGGTTATCCAGTATCTTGCAGCTGTTGCAACTACGGATACGCCCTACGCTCGGTCAGGAAATAAGCACTTGTCGACATTGTCACAGCAAATTCTTCGCGCTAATCCGATTCTCGAAGCATTTGGTAACGCGCAAACTGTTCGAAACAACAACTCCTCCCGTTTCGGCAAGTTCATCAGGATTGAGTTCTCTCGAGCGGGCCAGATATCAGGCGCGTCCATCAATTGGTACCTCCTTGAGAAGTCTCGCGTTGTGAAGCCAAATGCAAACGAGAGAAATTATCACATCTTCTACCAGCTTCTGAAAGGCGCAGACCAGAAGTTGAAAGAGTCGTTGCTCTTGTCGGACTTGCAGATCCAAGATTTTGCGTACACCAGAGATGGTAACGAGACGATTGCAGGGGTCTCCGATGAGGAGGAGTGGAATCTGTTGGTCGAAGCGTTCCACGTGATGAACTTTTCAGATGAAGATCAGATGTGCATCTTGCGCACGATCGCTGCTGTTCTTCACCTGGGAAACGTCACAATTGTGAAGGCAAGCTTGCGGGCCGATCAAGCTGCCCTGGCACCCGACTCATTGAACAGTATAGAAAGAGCCTGCCATTTGCTTGGCATCGCACCGGAGCCTTTTGTCAAAGGGTTGCTACATCCGAGAGTTAAGGCGGGACGTGAATGGGTGGAGAAGGTCCAGACTCCGGAGCAGGTCCGGCTTGCTCTCGATGCCCTGGCGAAGGGTATCTATGAGCGTGGCTTTGGTAACCTTGTTGACCGCATCAACGGCCAACTCGACCGTAGCACCGTCACCGGTGATGACAGTTACTTCATTGGTGTTCTTGATATTGCTGGTTTCGAGATTTTCGAGAACAACAGTTTCGAGCAATTGTGTATCAATTACACCAATGAAAAACTTCAACAGTTCTTCAACCACCATATGTTCGTCCTAGAGCAGGAAGAATACGCAAGAGAGCAGATCGAGTGGCAATTTATTGACTTCGGGAAAGACCTGCAGCCAACAATCGACTTGATTGAATTGACCAACCCCATCGGTATATTCTCTTGCTTGGATGAAGACTGCGTCATGCCAAAGGCCACTGACAAAACCTTCACTGAAAAGCTACACTCGCTTTGGGATCGCAAATCTGCCAAGTATCGCGCCTCCCGTCTGAGCCAGGGATTTGTGCTCACACATTACGCGGCTGAGGTGGAATACGACACTGATGGCTGGCTCGAGAAGAACAAGGATCCGCTTAACGACAATATAACTCGTCTCCTCGCTCACTCGGAGGAGCCGCATGTTGCGAACCTCTTCTCTGATTGTGGTGACCTTGACGATGATAGCGATTACCCAAAGAGCCGTGTGAAGAAGGGACTTTTCCGCACTGTCGCCCAGCGGCACAAGGAGCAATTGGCCAAGTTGATGCAGCAACTGAACTCTACTCATCCCCATTTCGTCCGATGTATCATTCCCAACCACAAAAAGCGTCCTAAGATGCTGAATGCCCCTCTTGTCCTCGATCAATTGCGATGTAATGGTGTACTGGAGGGCATCAGAATTGCGCGCACAGGCTTCCCTAACAGACTAACCTTTGCCGAGTTTCGTCAACGATATGAGGTGCTCTGCCAGAAGATGCCGAAGGGCTACCTGGATGGTCAGAATGCCGCTCATATAATGCTACAGAAGCTTGAGATGGACCCTACATGGTACCGAGTCGGTCGCACAAAAGTCTTCTTCCGAGCTGGTGTTCTGGCTGAATTAGAAGAGAAACGAGACCAGCTTATCCGCACCATCATGACTCGCTTTCAGTCTGTTGCTCGAGGCTTTGTGCAACGGCGAATCTCAAACAAACGTCTTTACAGAGCCGAGGCCACCCGAATCATCCAGCAGAATTTCCGAGTTTATCTGGATATGAAGGCTAATCCTTGGTGGAGATTGTTCTCAAGGATGAAGCCTCTCCTGGGTGAGACACGGACGGCCAGCGAAGTCAAGAAGCGAGATGAGAAGATTAAGGAGCTGGAACTGAAGATGAACCAAGATCTGGCGAACCGGCACAAGCTCGAGGAGGAAAGGCGGCGGACAGAGATCGAAATCCAGAAAATCCAACAAACTTTGGAGAGTGAACGCGCTCTGGCTCTCGACAAGGAGGAGATCTTCAAGAGACTTCAGCTTCGGGAAGTGGAACTAAGTGAGAAGCTGGCTGGTGCCATAGCCGATCAGGAGAGTCTCGAGGATCAACTGGATGATCTCATCGCAGCGAAGAAAAAGACAGACGACGAGCTTGAGCTGCGGATTACCCAGCTTGAACAAGCAGGCGAAATCATCCAGCGTTTCGAGAACGAGAAGCGAGAGATGCAGGCTCGACTTGAAGAGATTGAAGGCGAGTTGGCCGAGGCGACAAGAATCTCTTCAGAAAAAGACGTCCAAGTCCAGGAATTGGGCCAAGAGATCAAAATGCTCCAGAGCCATCTCAGCCTCAAAGAACGCAAGCTTCAAGATCTGGAGGCGAAGCTGCTGAAGACAGATCAAGACCTGGAGATCAAACATGCAAAGACCTCAAAGGAATTGGATCAGTCCAAGAAACACATTAAGGAGCTCGTTGAAGAAAATCGCACTATTCGACAGCAGATATCCGAGCTGTCGTCAACTTCAACGGGGTATGAAGAGATGCTTCGTCGGAAAGAGAGCGAGATGGCAGTTCTTCGTAACGATGCGAAGAAGCACGAAGATGAGAAGCGCCAGTTAGAATCCGAGAAGGCCACGCTTTCAACCCGCCATGATAATATGCAACGACGACTGCGCGAGCTCCAAGCTGAAAGTGATGCTATGGTGTCCGAGAAGGTTCAACTTGAGCGTGAAGCAGCTGATGTCAAGAAGCTGTTAGAGGAAAAGATCTCTGAAGACGCCGAAGCCGGTGAGAGTCGGAAACTCCTTGAACAGCAGATCCAGGAGCTTAAGGCCCAACTGTTCAAGGCGCAGGCAGATCTGAGCCGGGAAAGGCAGTCCCGGGATGATGTCCAAATGCTCGCCGAGCACAACCTGGCAGAATTGAAAGACAAGTACACTGCACTCAATGAGTCCAAGATCATCATTGAGAAAGAGATGTACATCCAGCAAGACACTCTGCGTCGCGCCACTGAGGCCCGCGTTGCTGCTGAAGAGTCGCGGAAGGAGCTGCAGGCTGAGCTGATCCAGCTTCGGGACCGCTTTACCAAGGTTGAAACTGCTCGATTGGATGCGGAAGCTGACATTGAGCGCAACATTATGAAGCAGGCTACCGAACGTCTGCAGAGTGTCCAGAAAGACCTCGATACTCGGTCTCACCAATTAGAGGAGCTCGAGGCCGAAAGATCCCGACTTGCCGTCAGAGAACAAGAGCTGATGAACGCCATTGCTGAGTCTGACAACTTCCGCATTCGCCATGACCAAGCCAAGGAACGTCTCGAACGAGAATTGGTAACCTTGAAGGGCAGACTTACAGCGTCAGAGAATGATAACCGTGCTCTCCTTACCAAGATCCAGCAAAAGAATCTTGACATAGCCAGGTCAACCTCAAGAGCAAGTGACAACCAACGGCTTCGTGTCACCAACCTTCAAAAGGAGAAGGCTAAGTTGGAAGAAGACAATAAGAAGCTTACCCGTCAGCTTGGCGACCTCCACGTCTCAATCACCTCGCTAGAGAAACAGAAGGAGAAGCTTTCTCTCAGCTTGGAGGATTTGAATCACGAAGTCAATAGAGAGCATAAAGCCAGCCGTAACGCTGAGAAGGCCGCGTCTACGGCAGGAATTCAGCTCGCGGAAGCCAACAGAAACCTGGAAACGGAAAGACAACTCCGCACGCAGGCACAGACTAACACACGTCAACTCCAGAACTCTCTTGATGGTGCAAATAAGGAGATCGAAGATTTGCATCGTCAGCTGATGCTGCTGCACAAGGTCGTGGAACCCGAGGCGGATCCTTCGGATTCAACGTGGGAGAAGGTACAGCCTGACCTCTCCAAAAAGATCGACCTAGCCCAATTGCTTGAAGCCACTAGGAGCAGGCTGCAGGTGACCGAGGAGAAATATAGCCGGGCCGAGAGTCAATTGGCGGAAATGCGCCGTCGTCATGGCGATGAGATGAAGGAGCTCGATGCGCGATATGCCTCCTCGAAACGGGCGTTACTTGAGGAGATCGACCAGAACCAGGTTGCCGGAAATCGTACACCAACTCATCTCCGGAAGAACTCCGACAACATTGCAAAGAAGTTTGGCACGCCCACGACTCCCAACCGGAAACTGAACTTCAACGAAATGGCAGACTCCGCTCGCTCCGATAGGACCGTGGACACCGTAGGCTACCAGAAGCGGATGGACATGGCGGCGGAAATCGAGGAGCTTCAAAACAAGCTTCAGATAAGCGAAATGCAAAACAAGCATCTCCAGAATCAGCTTTCTCAAGCATCCCCAGCCCGCGATATTTGGCAGGATGACTCTGTACGCCGAATGCAGTTGCTCGAGCGTGAAAATGGCCGTTTGCATGAGCAGCTTGATGATTCAACAAGGAAGCTCTCTGCAATGGAGAAGAGCATCCATACAGGAGAGCTCTCGCTCCGAGACATCCAAGCCAAGTCCCACGAAGAGCTCTACGATCTGATCAACTCGCAAGAGCAGTCGAGGAGAGCATTGCTTCAGGTACACAAGGAAACCATGGCGGAGTTCGGTGACTCCAAGGCTCAACTGGAGAGACTCAAGCGTGCCAAGGCCACGTTGGAGGTAGAGCTACGTGACACCCGGTCCGAGTTCCAAGAGGTGCAAGATGCACGGGATCAGGATGCCATTAGCCGTAACCAACTTCTCGAAGAGTTCTCTGATCTTCAGATCAGGCTTGATGCGGAGACCTCAAAGTCCGCTGATCTTGCGTCGAGTTTGAGTCTCTACAAGTCCCGAGCGGATGAATATTTCAACAAGCTTGAGCAGGCAGAGATCACTGTCCTCAAAGCCACTCGGGCTGAGCAGTTTGCTAAGACCCAAGCCCAGGAGGCCGAGGATACTTGCGCTCAGATCATGGCCGAGCGGAAACAGATGGATGCTCTTGTCGAAGACCTGCAACGCCAAACACAATCTCTCGAAGCGCGAATGGAGGATCAGGCGGCAGAGCTACAAGCTGCCCTCCAGGCTAAGCAGCGTCTTCAAAACGAGCTTGAGGATTACAGAAACCAGCGTGCGATTGACATTGAGGACAAGGAAACATCTATGGAGCAGACCAGACAGAAGTATCAGCGCGAATTCTCAACCCTCAACAATGAACTTGAGCTGGAGCGTGAGAAGGTGCTGAACGTTCGCGGTGAAAATGCCCGCCTGCGCGAGGAGCTCGAAGATCTCCGCAGTAAGTGGGACAACGAGGTTCTGAACAGCTCAACCTGGGCGAAGGAGAAGGCCCGCATGGACATTATGCTACAAGATGTGACGACCTCTCGTGATGAGGCGGTATCTGCGCACAACGAGGCTCAGAGCAAGGTCGTGTCATTGCTATCACAAGTCCGAACCCTGCGTACTTCGGTTGATGACGTGACCGCAGAGCGCGACATGCTACTTACAGAGAAGAAAACTCTGGAAACGCGCTTGGCTGAAGCCGGTGCAAGACTGGAAGACCTCGTCAAGGGAGAGAGTCCCTCCATGCGCAATGCCGCAAGCATGGACCGTGAATTACTAGAGCTGAAGTCTAAACTTGCTCAACAAGAAGATGTTTCTGCTGCTGCTGTCGGCAAGATGCGGCGCGCGGAGGCTCTGGTGATGGAAATGCAAAAGGAAGTTACTGCTGAGCGAGAGAACAATGCCCAACTCTTCAAAGATAAGGCTGCGCTCGAGAAGCAATTGAAGGAATCACAGCTGCGTTGCGTCGACCTGGAAACCAAGAGCTACTCTTCTGGCAGCCAGGACGTACGCTTCCTGCACAAGAGAATCAAGGAGGTAGGTCTATTCCTTCCGCATACAGGGGTACGACCCTTTGAATCACTAACCAGTCCCGATAAATAGCTGGAAACACACCTTGAGGAGCAGGAGTCCAAGCAAAGTTCTGAACAACGATCATTGCGTAACGTTGACCGAACAGTGAAGGATCTCCAGTCCCAGATTGAGCGACGTGATAAAATGAATGCACAGCTGAACGATGACGTCACCAAGACACGCACAAAGATCGACCGACTCCTGCGCGACATCGAGGAGCTGCAGCAAAGTGAATCCGAGGCACAGCTTCAGGCGCGTCGAGCGGAACGAGAACTGCGGGAAGAGCGAGAGAAGCTGCTCCGGGTGGAGCGTGAACTGGAGGGCTGGAGGGGGCTCCGCGTTGAAAGGGGCAGCGCAATCGGACGGATCGGCGCATGGAGTGATGCTGGAAGCAGACGGGGCAGCAGCGTGTACAACTCCGGCGACATACCACAACGGATGCCCAGCAACACGAAAGGCTTCTTGTAAGACTATGACGACCTGGCAGAATGACTCTACTACACATCTGCCTACTAATTCGAGACTCGGGCGCTAAACTTCATCCAGGGCATGAGCGACAACTTACGAACATGACTTGATTGAAGCCCTGCATGGCTACGGAGTGTGATTGGATTTTGCGGCGTATGGATTTGGTTTTACATGGTATTTGATATGATGTGTCTGCGCACTTTGTTGATCTTCATAGGAACCGCTATGCAGGTCCCTGATGCAATTTTTGATGGCTTCTGATGGGAACCTACCTATCGCATGATTGTATACTTGAACGACTGCTTTTATATTCATCCAGGCAGACCGCAGTAATTGTACATGGCTTCCTCAATGAAGGGACTGTATACTACATCGATGCTATTTATTGGTGTCCCGTAACAACAGACAGGCTCGAGATGCTGCATATTGTTTACAACTTTACATATGTTCTTGGACATCTGCAGTACATTTGCTCGCCCTACATAGCAGCCCACGGATATATGCGGTGCGGGTGCTGTACTAAGTGCCAGTAGCCGCCACTACCGCTGGAACTTGGTGACGTCGTTCTTGAGTTTTAGTATATAGAAGCCCATTAAGGATTCTGGGTTGTAGATCTTTCAACTAGCTTGACCATGCCTGGACCACACAGAACATCAGCTTGTGCCAGCTAGAAATTAAGGTCAAGCCAACGTGGTGCTGCAAGCCGACGGAGCTCTCTTAGCCGCGCGGCTAGACTTGGCGCTCGCTTGGAGCGGCGGCGGGCGAATCCACTCCAGCTTGGGACGTTCAGTCTCCAAGCCTCTCTGCTTCTGCACCTCAACCTCTCTGTCTCGAGCGCCCACCTCGAACGGGATCCGCCCGCGTCGCTTTTCAAGATGGTAAGTTCTCGATGGAGGAATCATCTACTCACCTGCTTTCGTGCGAGACAGTCCCCTCCGGCTGCATAGCATCCCCCGCCGAAACAAACAAGCTCTTCATTGCCCACCCAACCCACCTTAACCTGCTCCGATTCCCGTCACAGTTGGCTCTTGCATTGGAAGAAAATGGCCACTACAAACTTACCTATCCGCCCCTCCTTCCAAACCGATGATCCGATGGACTAACACACTCCCGTTTTCTGCATCAGGCGCGTAACAGCGAAAAAGCTCAGTCGATGCTCTTCCGGTTCCGGGCCCAGCAGGCCGCGGACCTCGGAATCATCGACATCGGCCGCACCCGCCGGCCCAAGGCGATCACCTCGGTCGACTCGATCCCCATGTGCGAGAAATGGCGCGGGCAGGTGCTCAAGGAGATCTCGCGGAAGGTGTCGCGCATCCAGGAGCCCAGCCTGAGCGACTACCAGATCCGCGACCTGAACGACGAGATCAACAAGCTGATGCGGGAGAAGTGGACGTGGGAGATGCAGATCCGCAACCTGGGCGGGCCCAACTACATGCGGGGGTCCGGCCGCGTGTTCGACGACGACGGCCGCGAGATCCCCGGCGGCGGCAAAGGGTACCGGTACTTCGGGCGGGCCAGGGAGCTGCCCGGCGTGAAGGAGATGTTCGAGGCCGCGGCCCGCCGCGGTCGGCCTGCTGAGGAGGACGATGCGGAGACCGTCAAGGGGGGTCGGGGCGGCGACATCGCGACGAAGAAGGTCGATGCCAACTATTTCGGGTACGGGCTGGACGAGGAGGATGGCTCGCTGCTGGCGTATGAGAAGCAGAAGGAGAAGGAGGCCGTGGAGCGCCTGCGCAAGAAGGGTGACGATGGTGACGATGGTTGGGAGCCGTTGCCGGGCGATGCTGGGGACGGGGTCGAGTGGAGGCTGCCCAGTCTGGAGGAGGTGCAGGAGGAGCTGGTCGACCGGAGGAGGCGACGCCTGCTGGATAAGATCTCCTGAGGGGAGGGGGGTTGGGATTCTGAATCTGTGTGCTCTGGAGTTTGTGGCTTATCTTCTCTGTTTATTTCTGATGGCATCTTGGGTCTTCTCGGGGTGTTTCTCTTTTACTGTCATATTTTTGTTTCTATGGCGTTCTGGTTCCGATCTCACCCATATGCTGTGCTGTCTCACCGCTACTTACATATTTTTGCTTGACTTTTGTTATTTTCATACGCGGTGCTGCCCTCCCCCCGCTGGCAGGTTTACGATGCATCCTAAGGGAGGCAAAAGCATATTGATGATACCAACATGATTCGTTCTTTTGTACAACAGGTGGTTGCGAGCTATATTAGTCTATGTGCAAGATGTGATTATTCACAGCTTGGGTTGCTTCCGTGACAGCTTGTCCGCCTTCAGCGCCTGCGTTCGACTGATGATGGGGTCCCGCTCTCTGCCTTCCAACAGCCGTTGCTCCTCGGCCTGCAGGTCATCGAGGATGAACCTGCCCATATCCCCAGCGCGCCATTTCTGGATGAAATGCAGGGCTGCAAGCTCCGTGTTGGGGATGCCGCCCTTGGCCAGCAGGCCTGTCTGGCGGGCGAAGTCATTCAGGAGTGGCATGATCTCATTTGTGGGAGATGACCATCGCTGGTATACTTGAGCATCGTTGAGGTTGATATGGTACAGCAGATAGTCGGCCAGCGTGACGGGCGCGATGACCGAGTCCTTGACACAGCCGCAGAGTGCCAATTTCAGCATGTTCTCCGCATCCGGCACGTACGGCATGAAGACACCCGGCGTGTCCAGGACGTAGACATGGGAGCCATTCTCGCGTTCGATGATCTTCACGGGTGAAGCGATCTTTCGCGTGATACCCGGCTGGCCTCCCGTCCGCACGGCCTTGGCCTTTCCCACACCCTGATTGCGCAGGTTATTGATCAACGTCGACTTGCCCACGTTGGGCATACCGACCACCATCACTCGAGTGCCGACGAGTCTCTCAGGAATCCCCGAATCGTCACGCAGGTGTTTCAGGATGGTGCCGACGTCCATTCGAGACGATGAGCTGACGAAGAGCGAATCCCCGTTCTTGTTGAAGGTCCGGATGGTTTTCTCCGCCTGGACATTTGACACATTGAATTAGTCATTTGGCACACGCACACAAGTGGTAGTCTGAAAAGGAGCAATTGGAGACTATGTCACCAACCTTTTTTTGCGCAGTCGACCCAGATTCTGCACCTAAATCTCGCTTGGTATATACAACCAGTCGTCTCGTTTTCCCCAGCGCTTCCTCGAACATGGGGTTCATGGAGGTGACTGGCACCCGGTAGTCCCGGCACTCGATGACATAGTCGATAGACGAGAGCATATTCTGCATCTTCCTCAAGCCCGCCCTATGGTGGCCCAGGAAGTACGACCGGGGGATCGACGCATAGTTGGGGAACACCTGGCGCGGAACAAATGTGGCGGCCATTATCGTATGTCCATTAATGTGTGGATGCTGAGTTGTTCACTGTGTAAGTTCACATAGAGATTGATCTTGCTCATGATCAGAAAAACATGAGTGAGGTCAAGGTATGGATGAACTGAATTGCGATGCTTGTTTCCAAATGCTTTCTTGGAAGAGCGGCAATTTCGTTCGGAGAGAGGGGGCGGTCAGACAGGCGGTGTGCGTGGGTATGGTTACGATTTCCCTAACGGGATATCTTCAGCCGACCTCGCGATGCGAGAAACAAACTGCTCATGGCTTGTTCTAGCCATGGTTGGCGTCCAGGAGGAGCTCATTTTGTTATGTGGCACATGCTATCTGATATGCGTCTAATCAAGTCATTCGTGAGATCGTCAGCATCAGTTGATATGTCTTGAAGAACTCTTGGTACATACACCTGGTTGTCCGTCTGGACGGGTCTGGACCGACCACTGCTCATTGCCGCAGAACAGATGCAAATCTCAATCTTGACTGAGTCGAAGGCTAGACTCGGATTTCGAGCAGGAATGCGCCAAAATTAGAACCGTGGTGCAAGCACATTCTGGTACCGTCTATCGCCCACGAGGACTATTTATCGCGGGGATATGATACGTCATCTACCAAGCCCGGCCAAGGCGGGCAACAACCTGAACCATATTATTTCCCCCACAATCGCATCTTATCGTGGACCCCTGCACAGACTTCTCCCTCAGGGTCATTGATCACAAAATGACTTTGATCTCTGCCTTTCGTCCACCGTCTACTCGGGTCTCGTCTTTGCGACTGAGGTCCCGCAAGCAGCGGGGATCGCCCAAGCGTAGTCCTCGTCGGCGCAGCCGCGAATTGCGACGGGAACGGGGCGAGGATGAGGACGATGATAGCCACGATGAAGATGCCCACTCCATAATCACCCCATCTAAACATACCCCCAAAGCGATTCGGGTCTTGCGTGGCTCCGTGGCTAGTGGTGGTCCTCTGCGTCCCTTTCGCTTAGTCAAACAAGATATCCTGAACCTGCGTCGGCGATATGTCTCGGATTGGAAGATTTTCAACCAGCTGATATTCGCCAGTGCCGTCTATGTCTTCTTCACTAATCTTCTCCCTGGGATCACTTTTGCTAGCGATCTCTACGTCTTGACTGGCCAGCATTGGGGAACGATCGAGGTGGTATTCAGTACTGGGCTATGTAGCATAATCTTTTCTTTGTGCGTCTAGACACACCATTGCCTACGTGGGGCGCAGGCTTACAGTTGCTCATAGATTTTCCATCCAGCCCTTGACTATCCTTGGGGTCACTGGGCCCTTTTCAGTGCTAGCAGAGAATATTTACAAACTCTGCGATGAGGTTTTTGAGGTGCGCAGCCCACTAGTACAAAATACAGCAAGATCCAGGACTAATGGCCGTATAACAGATACCTTTCTTGCCTTTCATGGCCTGGTCACTAATACATGCTGGCTGGCTACACTATGTCCTGGCAATCATAAATGCACATGATTGGACAATGCGATATGTCACAACATTCGCCACGGAGATATTCTCCCTCCTCAACAGCATTATCTACTTCCATAAGGCAATCCAGGAGCTGGAACGAGCCCACGACAGTCTCTCCTTCGCAGCTTTTCTGTACGCCGTCATTGGTGCCGTTGGGACAATGCTCTTGGCAATCTTTCTGTCGACTGCAGAGAGCTGGCGTCCCTTGTTTCACCGATACATCCGCATGGGTCTGACCGAGTATGCCGCTGCAATCTCCATAATTGTCTTCATCGGACTTCCCCACATCGGCGAATTGGCTCATCTGGATAAGATGACGCTTCCCGTCAGCACCTCCTTCAAGCCCACCTCTCCAGATCGCAGCCAATTCTTCGTCGAATTCTGGCACCTACCCGTGACATGGGTCTTCGCCGCCATCCTCCCTGGGGTCATCATCACCATCCTCTTTTTCTTTGACCACGAAGTCAGTTCTATCATCTGCACCATCGACCGCTATGGGACCCGCAAGCCCGGCGGTTTCGCGTGGGACATCATCCTCCTGGGTACCACCACAGCTCTCTGTGGGATCTTGGGGATTCCACCAGCCAATGGCCTCCTCCCGCAAGCGCCTCTTCATTCCGAATCTCTCATGCATACCGAAAAGGAGCAGCGCACCATTCTCGTCGACGGCGAGGAGAAGACTGAGACCTACGAGGTCAAACGCGTCTACGAGCAGCGCTGGTCATCCTTTCTCCACGCAGCCGCCATCCTCCTCTTCGTCAGCCCTCCCTTCATGAAAGTCCTTGGTTTGACCCCCACCAGCGTTCTAGCCGGTCTGTTCATGTTCATGGGTGAGCAAAGTCTTTCCGTGAAGTAAGTCTACACCAACCCTCAACTTCCTGGACCGACCCCCAGTTAACCCACTAATCCTAACCAAATAGCCCAATCCTTTACCGAACATTCTACCTCCTTACCCCACCCTCCGAACTTCCCCCGCTCCCCGCCTCCCTCGCCACAACCCCCTCCACCCAAACAAGCAATAACCCGGAACCAACCATCCAAGAAGAAGATTCCGAAAAAACCCCCTCCTATATCCCCATCCACCTCTACACCCTCCTCCAAATCATCATCACCGTCGCCATCTTCATCCTCACGCTCACGCGCGGCGCCCCCGCCTTCCCCGTGCTGATCGTCCTGCTCGTCCCCTTTCGCCTCCTGATCATGAAGCGGTGGTGGCCCCGCGAGGTCCTTCGCTTCGTGGACGCGTGGGCATGCAAGGAAGGGACGCCGGAGGACGACGAAGACGCCGAGACCGACGCGCAAGCGCAAGCGGAGAGGAAGGGCGGGGCCCCGGGACAAGAGTCTTCGGGACCCGATAATGGTGATGAGATCATCATACCTGCTGGGACTGAGGCGGGCCAGGGGTCCTCCGGGGTGAGTTCCGATAGTGGCGGTCTGTTTGTGGGGAGTCGGTATGCCAAGGATGGCGGGGATCTGGGAAGTCGGTCGCACTTGAAGGAGGAGTTTGAGGAATTGGATCCGAGGGAGCTCGATGGGGAAGGGGAAGGAAGGGAGTGGCTTGAGCTTGAGGGGTGGGGGCGGCGGCCGGATGAGGAGGAGGGGAAGGGGCGGAGACAGGGTTGATGATTTGAGTTGAGGTTTCTGGATATTAGAAGAGTAGATTGGGGATTGATGTTACGTGTTCAAAGCGATGATAGATTGCCTATCCGGGTTGCTTTTACGGTCACGAGGTTCTACGAAGTCATGTTGATGTTGGAAACATAGCAAGAAAAGCGATGTCCAGGTGAATAGATTTGTGTCTATCTGTATGATTATGATTCCTCCATGGGGACCGGCAGTATTCTTGCCTCTCGATGAGAATCGTGCAAAAGCGAAATTGAACATAGGGTATCGGTCGCCCGTTGTTTCATGTCTATGTAGAGGCATTTGAAAAATCGGGAAGGAAAGTAAGAGAGAAATATATGCACCCGTCCGTCCCATCTGGAGAGCGCCTGACTCCTACATGCCTATTCTAAGAGTCCCGCAGAATGACAACACATTTGAAAAAAAAAAGAAAGAAAGAAAGAAAGAAAGAAAGAAAGAAAGAAAATCGCTACAGACAGATTCCCATCAAAATGACTGGACAAAGGGGGACCGAATCAAGCCCTCCACCCCTGCACAAACTCATGCAACCGATCGATGACCACCCCGAAGATGGCGTTCACGCTGTCCCCGATGAGCTGCTCGAAGTGCCGGATGGCCTCTTCCTCGGTCATCTCGAGGTGGAAGCGCTCCTTGACCTTGAGGACGGCCTTGTCGGGCTCGACGCGGATGTCCGGGATGTTGGCGTCGACCATCAGACTGAACAGGTTCAGGATCAGGTTGGCGGACTTGCGCAGCGTGGTGTAGGCGGTGAAGCAGTACTGCTTGAATTGGAGGTACAAGGGGGAGGTGGTGCCGCCCATGCCCTCGACCATCTCCTTGCAGAGCTTCATCATCGGGGCGAACGGTTTGGGGTCGCGGCCGAGGATGAAACCGAAGTCGGCGTGGAAGAAGTGGCCGTCCGGGGTGAGGAGCAGGTTCTCCAGGTGGCGGTCGCCGACGCCGAGGAGGTAGGTGATCACGCAGTATCCGGCGCAGGACTTGATGTAGGTGTCCATGGTCTCCTTGCGGACGCCGAGGGGCTCGGTGTCGTCCGGATTGTTCTCCTTCAGGTAGGCGAGCACGGATTTGTATTTGGCCGAGATGGCTGATAGGGAGGCCGAGGGGATGAACTGTACGGCGCCCGCGGTGGCGTTGGTGGCTAGGATGCGGTAGGGCGTGAGTTTGAGGTCGAGGTTCTCTTTTTGGAGGAGGCGGTCCATGAGGATGATGATCTGGATGACCAGTTGGTCTTGTCGGAGGTCGTCGCCGACCTTGAACAATATAGGGTATTTGCGGCCGTCCGCGGTCTTGAAGACAATCTGGAGCGGCGAGAGGGAGGATTTGAAGACGTTGGCTTCGTCCGGGTGACAGCCCGTCACCATAACCTCCGGGTCTAGGGGCAGTGGCAGTGGTGGATCGATCTGGAGCAGTTCGTGCTTCGGGTCTTTGAGGAATTTCTTCAGCTTCTCGATCTTGAGGATACGGTTATCGCGGGAGAAGCGGACGTCTTTCGCGATCTTTGTGAGTATGACCACGAGCTCGCCCTGCCGTAGCAGTGTCTTGCGATGCTCTGGTTGTATCTGCTCCAATTCGGTCATGAAGTAGTATTCCACCCTCGCGAACAGTCTGCGTTGCGCGGACAATGTACCCGGCCCAGTGTCGTCGCATTCGACCATCAGGTACCAGTGTAGATAGCTGCCTAGTTTGAAGTTGTTTGCGGCACGCGTGACGAGGAAGTTGGCTAGCGACGAGTCATGAGAGGCGTCCCCTGCGGCGCCCTCGGGGTTTTCCTCGTATTTGAGTGCCTGCACGAGTTGCAGCAGATAGAGCAGCAACTCCTCGTCGTCAGACTTGCGGAGTCTCTCTACGGCATATGAACGAACCGCGGCGTTGTCAAAAGTCGGCCCCAGTAGCTCGAGTGCGTCGTCGACGTCGATTTCCGTCCATTTGGGTAGGATCTCCACTGCCTGATGCGCTTCACCGACGTCACGCCAGTTAACAGACTTGACAAACTTCGTGAGTGCCCTCTTCTCGCGCGTTAGATAATATCTGAAACGCCACACAAGATCTTTCTCCTCTGCTGTTAAATCCTGGGTGGGCTCGTATGATAGAATCACATTGAGTTCATCGCGAATCTTAGGGTTTGGCTTCAAATCCCGATCCATAATGCCCGTGCGGGTGCTCCGAATCAGTCTTCGGTGCTTGTCCTCGCATGGGTTTCCTGTCTGCCCGACTTCGGGGTCGTATATCCTGATCACACCACTGCCGTCGGCACCCTCAATCCCGGGGCCGAATCGGACCTCTGGAAGGGGCTTGAGCGGAGTATTCGTGTTCATGGGCGCATTCTGGGGATAGGTCGAGATTGGCGGCGCCGGGTACTCATGATCAGCCCAAACGATGGGATGGTCGAATCGGGGAAATTCGACGTAGAGGGTGAAATTCTCATCGTCCACCTTATCTTCGTCGGAATCGTCGCCATCGTCTATCCGGCCGTCGGAGCTTTTGTGTTTGATGGCCTTCATGCGTATGGCCCGTTTCCTCGCAGCCTCCTCGGCATTGAGCTTCAATCTCTCCAGTTGTCGGAAGACCATCTGGTCCATCCAATCGATCCGCGGCAGCTCCCCCATCTCATGCTTCTTGATCAGCACCTCGACTCTTTCTAACTCCATTTCTTCCAAAGACGGACCCAATGGGTCAGGAGCGTTCGCTTTCCGACGTTTGGGTGGTGGAGTCGATGGGGTGGTAGTTGAAGAGAATCCATCCGCAGCTCGATGTCGGTATATCTTGCATTTCTGCCTGCCCATCTTCAACTTCCCGTCCGCGTCGAAGAGTGAAATTGTTGTTCCACCGAAGGGTACGTAATGGCCATGAGCTCCCTCGCCGCCAAACGGTGATAAGTCCCAGACCGTGATCGCTAGCTGACTCTTCAGAGGAGCATCTTTGATCGAGACGGGCATTTGCAGCCATTCGTTCCATGATCTAGCGGATTTGAATGCCTTGTATGGGGTCTGTAAGGGTACTCCTAGCGGTTTGGATTCGGACCATAATTGCACGGTGACGAATAAATCCGAGTGAGGGTTTTGCGCAGAGCCAAGGTGACGGAGATCTGGCCGTTGGAGGAGGACGGAGAACGGGATTTCCTTCTGCTTTCCTTCTAGAGAGCCACTTGGAGTTGGAACTTATTAGCGGATCACAGCGGCCAGGTATCAGACAGGTAGTGCCCACTTACACCTTGACGTGGATGGGAAAGTCCACCTGGGTGGAGACGGCGAAGGTAAAGGCCTCCATCCTGAGATTCGCGTTCTCAGAAGCCAGACAATATCGAGTCAGTTCACCCGCCAGCAATCTTCATGGTGAGCTTGTCACTATCTCACGACGATGGCGAATGGTGCTGTATGCGGCAACTTATCGGGAGAGGTTGAGTTGTTGGACAGTTGGAGACATCCATGATTCCCGCAGCTCCGACCAGATGAGGCGATGATAGGCTGGAACGGCCCACAGTTGGTTGTGGGCTTGCCGGGAGTGACGCGGGGGTCACATGATTAACGCGCTCGGCGCGTGCACCACAACGGATTAGTTCAAGGTTTAGATAAGGCACATCCGGGGAGATTATTGAGAATGTTTGCATCGGAAGGAGTTTATCGAAGCCCAAATAGTTGACTCTACACGAAAGGTGGTGCTACGATCTCTCCTGGCACCAACTAAAACCCAGACGATCCCAGTCCTTTGTTTTCTTTCCTCAGTGCCTGCGCCCTGATTCTCCCTCCCACCAACGACTCAGCAGGCTGTTTGGCGGCTGTTCGCGTTTCTTTGTCTTCCCCTCACGCGCTTCGTTTGTCGCATACCTTCTGCCCTCCAAGAGATGGCACGACGTCCCTCTCACACCCGACCCTCAATTCAGGCAGTTCCACCTGAGCCATCCTCCGATAAGGAAAACCATCCAACATCAGCTGGTAACAGCAAGCGTGTTCAAATCCAAGCCATGCCCAGCAGCGCCTCGAGGAAACGACAACGGCTGTCCACGCGGGGCACCAACTCACAGGGAAGCCAGTCTCAAGGATCACGATCACAGCCAGCCCGCGATAAGGACTATTATGACCCGGATCAAGATGAAGCCGAACGACGGAGAATCAGAAAGGGCCTGAGAGACCTGACGCGGGACCTCAACGGTGGGCTACCCCTCCATCGTCAATGTGGCATTGCTTTTGCTCTAACTTTTCCCCCGCTGCAGACTCCCGCAGTGAGTTTATGCAGGCTGGAAACAGTGGTATCAAGTCCACGATAGAAAAGGCCAACGAGTTGTTTCAGGGCGTCAAGCAAACCTCGGATGCGACCATCGACTCTCGGCTATTGGTCAGCGCGGCGGACCTCGGATACAAGAAGACCGCACAATTAGTGCTGGGCGACGCCAGTGCAGGCATTGACGTCGACGAATTTGTCTCCAAGTGTATCACTTTCATGCGCCAGGCCCCCGCAGACTCCCAAAGCACCGTCCCCAGTAGCACACAACATCGTCGCGCTGCCCGACCAGCAGATGATGACGGCGAAGATAATGGGGATGCCTTGAACTGGGACTGGCTCGGACGGGCTGCGTCCTTCTGCAGCAATGCCCGGCCGTCGGTCCCTGGGTTCCTTCTGGGCCCGCTCTCGGTGCAAAAACGAACCCGCCAGCAGGCCGTTCGGAGGGTCAGGGAACGGATTGACCCCAGTCGGGCGGTCGCACCGCAGGATCTTCAAGACAAAGACCTTGACAGGCAAGAGACGTCTAATCTGACTACAATGTGTGGCAGTATCAACGGTCTACTGGCGAAGACACAAAACCATGGCCAAGATACCGTCGAAAGACAGCTGTCGGCGCTCCAAGCGGAGCCTTCCGATGAGCAGCTGCAGAAAGTGATGGCGGAGAACAATGTAGCTGATGATGGTGGTGTCCCGCTGTTCCGCTTCTGCATCAACCCGAGGTCCTTTGGACAGAGCGTGGAGAACCTGTTCTACGTGAGTTTCCTGGTTCGTGATGGCTTGATCGGTATCTCGGTGGACAGTAGAGGATTGCCCACGTTACGTAAGTTCATCTCCTACTCATCTGTGGATCCCGGCTGACCTTGCATGCTCTAGACGCTGCGAAGCCTCACGCGCCCAGCGAAGCTCTGAAGAAGGGAGTCCAGAAGCACCAGGCTATCTTCACTCTGGATTTCGAGACCTGGCAGGATCTGATCGAGGCCTATGGGATCGATGAATGTATCATTCCTCATCGCGCTGAAGAAGCCCAGCCAACGGCACAGACCTGGCGATGATCATGGTTCAACGCCTAGGGCCGACTGGCCTGTGATGACTTTTTCTTAACTATGTATCAGGCGTAAGGTTGCGTTACTTGCAGATGAGGATACCCATTTGTTGGCAAGGAAATTTGGCCGCGATTTCAATGTCATGTTGTGTACATTCTCGGGGTTTTTATTCAATGTAGATATTCACCATCGGTCTCTAAAAGGGGCTTTACGAATCCGAGTGATTGGAGACAGAATGTTACCCAGAGGAGCATTGTGATTGGCAGACGTTATAATATAAAACGTCGAGCCCCTAAATACTTAGTAGAAAACCGCCAATGACGCGACACACAATGCAGCTAGATCAACTTTAATAGCAACATCTCCACCTACAACTGCACAGCCAGGTCCTTGCCGAACAAACGAGTATCATGCCGTGTGGTTGGCAGCTGTTTGATGGGTAATGCTTAGTAATTAACCAAGTCTAACTAGCTAGCCGTTAATGTTTTGTAATAAAATAAGTCTAGCCGTTGGGTCTTGGTAATCAAATAAATCCAGCTGCCAATGTTTAGCAATAAACAAAGGCTGGCTGTCAATAATTTGGAATTCAATAAGTCTGGCTGTCAGTGTTTAGCAGTTGAATGAGTCTAGCCCCGGCCCGTGGTGGCAGTTGGCTGATTGCGGCCATGCTGGCAATGACGTCACGGCAACTGCAATCACGAGCTTGCGCCCCGTCTGTTGCATCAAAGGAAAAGCTGTTCTAGTTTTAGCAGCTGCGTTGGCAGGCATCCTCCTTGTAACCCTTTTCACGATCTGCCCACCCCTTTTCATGCTATCGTGCGAAAGGCCTGTAAAAACTTACTCTATTTATTCTCCTTGAGGTGGCAGTTGACGCGACCAGACACCACTTCTGGTTGAGATCTACACCTTCCCAACCCTTTTGACAAGCACTTTACACTTCACCAGAAACGCTCCCGAAAGCTTGCAGCATGGCTCCTCTTTTCCCAAAGAATCCGGCCGATGTGATGGTCATTCGCAATGTGACTTCCAATGTGATCACTATGAGCTTGCCGTTTGCGCGGTTCGGTCACTTGAAGTTCGGAGGACGCGGTACCTTAGGTGTGCATTCCTCTCATGTTGCAAGGGTCTTCGAGACTGGAACCCGTCATAATGCTCGTGCTGACTCTGTATGATTGAAATATAGTCAAGATGGCCTCTGGCTCTGTTGCCGTGTTCTCTCCGGTCAATCTGACCCAAGAGGTTCGCGAAACGGTCACCAGCCTCGGAGGCAACGTCAAGTACATCGCCGCTCTGGACCTCGAGCACCATATCCACCTGACTGCGTGGAAGGAGGCATACCCCGATGCCGAGATCATCGCCCCCGAGGGACTCTGGGAGAAGCGCCAATCCAACCCCAAGACCAAAGACCCCGCACCCTTCCGTCACGTCTTCCGCAAGGAACTGGCCGGCACGCAGAAGATCTCGGAGGAGTTCGATGCCGAGTTCGAGACCGAATATGTCCACGCCCACCAGTCGCGGGAACTGGTGTTCTTCCACAAGCCCTCCCGCACCCTCATCGAGGCCGACTTGCTCTTCAATCTCCCTGCGCGTGAGCAGTACTCGAAGACCGGGGAAAGCGCCACTTCGGGCATCTTGACGAAGATCATCAGTCCACTCTTGACTGCGAATGCGCCGGCCACCTGGCAGAAGAGGTTCGTCTGGTATGCGCTGTCCAGCTCGGATCGCAAGGGCTTTACGGAGTCGATCCGGAGGATTGATAAGTGGGACTTTAATCGGTTGATCCCGTGTCATGGAGATGTGATTGAGAGCGGCGCCAAGGGAGTCTTCCGCACGGTCATGGAGTGGTTCTTGGAGGATCGGAAACGGACTTGAACACAAGAGAAAAAAAAATGCCGAGTTTTTTGTGACTTTTACTGCCGATGGTTAATCCCTTCGGCTGCGGATGTTCTTTATGTTTTTGTGTTGATTGCAAACGATATCCAAGTGTTGTATAATCATAATGCAGGACTGCCGTGCGATGTGTTCTTTGATGTTACTGCTGGCTGGTGTATGTACTGTAATTGTGCTTTTTGAACATAAGCAGGTTCAACAGTTTAAGGTTCCATAGGCCAATAGCCGAGAAAATCAGCCGCCGCCGATAATTGGTGAATTCATTGTTATTGTTCTTGATACGCGGGGAGTCGAGCGGTGGGAGCTTTATTGACCGACGATCTGCGATAGTCTATTCTGGAGCCATGGTCGGCCCAAGGCACTTAGGTTGAAGAGGATAATGGTGATTTCTTCAGGTAGGGAGGAGACTTAATAGGAGACTTTATGAAGTTACACTAAGTTGCAGATGCGAATCGGCGCTGCCACGACTTATCCCATGACGTCATATGTACTGCCGCAGCCCGTTCCCCCTTTTTCCCCCCATCACTACGAGTATTACGTTTGAATCGGTGCTGCGCTGCTCGTCTGCATCAACGGGAGAGGAAAATACTTCACTCAAACTGTTTTTCAACGATCGCCCTAGAAGTGGGAACGCTACCGCAGACGTCCCTCGGGTCAAGTGGATACGAAAAAAAGGATAACAATCATCCATTATTCAAGGTGGGGAAATCCTTCAGCCTTAAGTGGGCTCTGTCCGGCTGCCAGAATCCCCTTGCTGCAGGTAGTGTGGCTTGGAATGTGAATGTGATGATGATGCATCAAGCTGCTGCATTGTTAACTCGGCTGCCTGGCAATATCTCTTGTGCTCAGTAAGGTGTGTGCGAATGTACTGGAGTATAATACCCCGTAGTGAGTAGAATAGACTAGGCTGTGTACAGGACCGTACATCGGTGGGCATATTGCCAATGGTAGCTTTCCAGGTACCCTCCTTGTAGCTTTCGCAAAGATTGGTTCGGAGTCAAGCCACTCAAACTCACCTGATGGGCGATCAATCAATTTCCTTCCCGCCTTTTGCTTCCCGCCCTATTTCTTGGGGCTTGGGCAGACCATGTCATGTCATTCGCAAGTGCTGGAATTGAATACTGGCTACGTACGATGACGTTCTGGTCGTTGTGCTGTGCAAGGGAAACAGACTCTTCAGGGAGGGTCTGAAACCTTCCTATATAACCCCCGAGTCCACTTCATCTCTCCTTCCCTCCATCGTTCCTTCGTTTGCAGGATATCTCGCTCATCACTCACTTCCACCATCCTCTACTCTAATCTTGCAGTCACCGTACTGTTTTCATACGCCAAACCTGTGTCTTCGACCACGCTAATCTCGACCTACAGCACACTCTAACTCACACAACTGTAACCGAGTCGCCAGTGATTCATCATGCCTGTCATCTCACGTCTCATCTCCATCGTCTTCCGCGTGGTGGAGGTCATTTGTGCGGCAGTATGTAACACTGATCGACTGCGTGCTCTTCCCCTACAGTAGCTAACGAGTCATGACCAATAGGTGGTTGCCGGTATCATCGGGCACTACCTGCACCAGTATAATGGCGATGCCTGGCCGGTTGCCAGATGGATCTATACGGAAGTCATAGCCGGCTTGTCGATACTGCTGGGCCTAATATGGCTGATCCCGTTCTCATCGGGCTTCTTCTCGTGGCCGTGTACGTGTTGTGCCGCCTCCTTGCGTCCTCAAAGCTAAACCCTTTATACTGACGTTACACAGTTGATGTCATCATCTCCTTCGCCTGGTTTGCTGCCTTCGGAATATTGGTCGATGCAATTCACAAGCTGAACTGTGGATCTATCTGGTACTGGGGCGGCATCATCCACAACAACTCGTGTGGCCGATGGAAGGCAGCCGAAGCGTTCAGTTTCATCTCCGCCATCGTCTGGCTGGCCTCGGCGCTTGTGGTATGATTCAGTGACACCGATTCTAGACCATGGTCTATACTGACAGGCTTTGCAGGGCATCTGGTTCACCTTCCGTGTCCGTGACTCGTCTGCTCCTCGACAGTAAGTGACATGACCCTTTGTGCATTTTGTGTGACACTTCACTGACATGAAACCGCAGCCGTCGCCGCTTCGGTCGTTCCGCTGTCTAGATGGGCGGCTTTCCGAGCTGCTGATTTGTGCGACCAGGCGGACTAATCCTCCGATGCTTGTCGTGCACCCACAATGCAATATGTCGACGGTCAATGCTCACCCATTATGATGTGGCACACATTGTCACGACACGACTTCATGAGATCTCTTTTAATTAATATTCTGATACCCGGTTGGCGTGCGAATGCTTGATGAAGGGATGCTGATGGCTTTTGTTGCTTGCTTTGTGACTTGCTATGATATTAATCTAATATGACGCTATTTCTCAGTTAAGAAAATCACCCAGAAAGGTGTTCAACGGTTTGATCCTGATCACCTTGTTCACATTCATAGAATTGAAGTATCTGGTGGTCCGGGGTCTGGTGTCAGCAGGATCCTCATCCACTGAGTCACGGAGTGCTGAACATCTTCGTTAAGCTGGCCTCCTTTGACACCTCTCAGCAAGGATCCGTTCGGCGGTATGTGTCTTCAGTAGTGCAAGGTACATTACCACCACCATATGAGTAGATGGTTTGACATAATATTGTTGCCAACGTCCAATTGAATGGCTCGTGATGACTAACTTTAGCGTGGCGGACATTCCTCCAGGCTCCGGACGGAGTCTGGGTCCCTTCCGCAGATCCCGAAATCTCATTCATGGATTGAGAATCAACCATGGCAGGAGAGCCGCAATCAGGGGATAGATCGAGTTCGCGATCGTCCTCTTTCGAGAAGGGCTCGCAGGACTATCGCCTGACGGTGCTGGAGCCTGAGCATCACGACGACTCCGACAGCAGCCAGCTGGTTGTGATTGGGCGGGAAAGCTCCGACCTGCGGCCCGATGCAGCCACGAGGGAGCCTCTGCTGCCAACCTCATCTCCGATCACAGATCACAATCGACACCATGAGCCCGAGAAATTCTCATGCTCGATATCCGGCATTCGCACCTGGATCAAAGGTCCGGTCCCGCCAGTCGAGTACAAAATCACTCCATGGCTAGTCCGCTGGCAGACGGCCCCAAGCCGTTATGTTGAGCGTCTCCTTCCGAGCACACGTGCCAGAGTCTCGCTTCTTGTGGCTTGCATCGCCCTGTGGGGAGTGGTGTTTTTGACCATTCTGCACGTTTCAATCACCGGGCAGGAGATTCCTGGATATGGAGCTCCAGTCAAGCTATCGTGTCATGCACGACTATGGTACGTCCCCCTACTCGTTTCTTCCACATAACCCGTTCTCACAATCCCTTGCTCAGGTATAACTCCACAGAGTGTGGTCTCGACGGAGAGGCCTGCCGTCCGTTTGATAACGGTGGCTTTGCCTTTCGCTGCCCCGCCAGCTGTGCGGATGCGATTCTGCTCGAGCCGTACGTTGTCGGGCCTGCAGAGTACAACTACCGTCCGCTAGTCATCGGAGGATCCCTCCAAGACAACTCCACTGCCGACACTGCAGCTAGCCTCGGAGACCCAGGCATCTACCGCGGCGACTCAGCCATCTGCCCTGCGGCACTCCACGCCGGCCTGATCGACAGCCAAACCGGCGGCTGCGGCGTGCTCCGCCGCACGGGCGAGCACAACGACTACCCCTCCGTCTCCAAGAACGGGATCACGAGCATCGGCTTCGCATCCTCCTTCCCGCTCTCCTTCACCTTCAACACCGACTCATCCGAAAACACCAGCTGCCGCGACCAGCGCTGGCCGCTCTTCACCTTCTCGCTCCTCACCACCACCCTCCTCTCCCTCTGCACCACCTCCTCCGCGGGCTTCTTCGCCTCCATCTACTTCATCGTCTACTTCCAGGTCGCCCTCTCCTCGGACCCGCCGTACTCCCCGGACTACCTGGAAATCGTCTCCACCGCCCTAGGCCGCTTCCTCCCGTGCGCCATGGTCGGCTGGGCGATCTACCACTTCGCGGTGCGGCGCACCCTGGCGCACAACCTGCCCGCGCGCTGGGACCAGACGGTCCTCTGGCTGGGCCCCTGCTGGGTCGGCGCCCTCAACACCGACACCTTCGACAAGATCCCGATCTCGCGCCTCACGCCGCACGACCTGCAGCAGCAGCCCGGCGCCATCCCCGCGCTGCTCACCATCGTCGCCTGCCTGGTCCTCATCGTCCTCACCCAGGCCCTGGCCTTCCGGAAGGAAGGCCGCCTCCCGCAGATGCTGACGGTCTATGCCGTCTTCGTCGCCGGCCTCGCCCTGCTCCTCGCCGTGCCCCACATGAACCTCCGGATCCACCACTACATCCTCAGCCTCCTGTTCCTCCCCGGAACCACCCTGCAGACCCGCCCCTGTCTCGTGTACCAGGGCCTGCTGGTGGGCCTGTTCGTCAACGGCATCGCCCGCTGGGGCTTCGACTCCATCCTGCAGACCGGCGCGGCGCTGCTCGACGGCGCCCAGCTGGGCAGTGTGCTGCCCGTCGTCGGCGCCCCGGTTGTGCTGGGGGTCAGCCAGATCGCTTTCGCGGTCGGACGCGATGCGCTGGTGAACGGTACCCGAGGGCCGTCGGTGGGTGATGGGGTGAGTGTTTTGGTTAATGATGTCGAGCGGTATCGAGGCTTTTGGTCGGATTTAGTGGGCGGTGCCGGCGCCGATGCCGGTGATGCTAATGCTGATGGTGGTAATGCTACGGTCGCTGTTGCTGCTGCCGCTGGGGAGGGATTGTTTAATTGGACGAGGCTGGCTGACGGCGAGGATGAGTACTTTCGGTTCGCGTTTATGCGGTTGAATGCCCTGGGTGGGTTTTGGTATGAGGATTTTACGAAGCCTGGGGTGTGGACGAGGGAGGGGGCGTGGATGGGGTGGGAGGAGGTTGAGAACGATCAGGATGGTGATGATGGTAGTGATGGTGGTGGGGCGAGGTGATGTTTGACAGATATTTCCGTATTCTAGATTGTTATCTGGTTTATTTAGGTCCTTCATCGGGGTATCTAGTGTGTACATTGTATACCTGTCTCAATTCCTCTACGTTGGTCGTCGTTGAGTAGACCTAGCGTGTATGTGCTGCGGTAAACAAGGGCGAGGGAGTGGTTATACCAGAAGAGCACCGCAGTCTTATACTCTAAGTCGACGGTCAGGTAAATATACACAATACATCGATTCGACTCAACCATGCTAATTCCACCAATTCGAACCGGAACTCAGAAAAACGCCGTGCACATGCATATGCATACCCAATCGATCCAAAAAGCCAATGATACATCCTCTCCAGACCAGCAGAAGAACCATGTATGTATACATAGAAACAGAAGAGAGCATCGCCCTGAAGCAAACAAACAAAGACATTGCCAAGAACTGCCTACTTCTCCAGATAGTTGTTACACCGGACCTGGATGACCTTCTGCTCGCCCCCGTCGGCGATGACCAAGGCGGTCAGCTCCCCGCCCTTGACGCAGCCCGAGTCCAGACCCTTGGTGTAGGTGGTGATGCTGAGGGAGGACTTGGAGTCGTGGCCGTAGATGACGGTCGTGGCCTGGGCGTCGGTGGCCTGGGCGTCGGCGTGCTTGGTGGACTTGTAGGTAAGGGATTGGTGTTTGTTGAATAACTGGAGGCGTTCGGGTGTTAGCCAACACCTCGGGTGCTTTTGAGATAAGGCGGGAACAGGAGAATGAGGAGAATGTAAGTATGTACCTTGGTCCACTTCTTTCCATCGCGACTGGAACTCGGGAGGTGAGTGTCCAGATCGATCGTCAGCATGTTCATCACACTGAACGGATCTTGCTTGTCGTAATCCACGCCGGGGACCAGCCCGCCATGCACCACGGCCACCTGGCCCATCGTGGGGATGTGCCCAACGTTCAAGATCACGGGGCAGGCGTCGAGCCACTCCGCCTGCTCGTCGGTCAGGTTGCGGGCCAATTTGAGATCCTTCTGAGCGCCGGACGTCGACAGCCCGTCCATGTACTCGTCGCCCGACGTGTCCGTCATGGCGTCCATTTCCAAGAGTTCTTGTCGCACCAGCAGGACGCGATCTTCGTGGTTGCCGCGCACGCAGGAGGCGGAGTGTTTGCGGGCGAGGTCGACCACGCCGGGGCTGTCGGGGCCTTTGCTGATCAGGTCGCCGGTGAAGATGAGGTGGTCGGTCTTTTCATTGAAGGTCACTTCCTCGAGCAGGCGTTCCACTGTTTGGACCGGGACAACATGTTAGCAATCCAGTTGCCAGGACGGAAAGAATATGATCGTTTTGTCAAAGAACACTACGCACACTCAGTCCGGCACCCATGCACGTCCCCCACCACAATCAACCGTCTCGTGCTCCCCGCGCCCGGCTTGGGCGCCTCCTTCGCCGGCAGCAGCGAGGAATCCAACGTCTTCAGCTGCAGGACGCCCTCGAAGCTCGGGAGCGCATTGGTCCCGTACCACCCGCCCACCGTCTCCTTTGTGTTTGGGTTCAGCGACTTGGTCAATTCCGAGTGCTCCTGCAACCGCGGCGACAGCACGAACTGCCAGCCCAGCAGACAGGACAGAAACAGGGCGGTGTAGATGATCGCATAGCGACGGAAGCGCGGGGCGGCGACGATGGACAGGACCATCTGCACCCAGCGGGGCGTTTCTGAGCGGTCGGGCGACGAGCCCGACGAGTATTTCGTGTTGGATTGCCATTCGTTGCGCACGTAGTCGATCAATGGGCGCGTATATCGTTTGACCCGGCGGGTCGGATTCAGCGCGTTCTGGAGGAAGGGGACATCGTCGGAGCCGTCGGAGGAGTAGTCGAGGCTTTCGGTGTCGTGGTGGTAGTGGGGATGATGGGTGGACGCCATGGTTGGTGATGGCCGGTCGGCGAGTCGGAAATGGCGACGGCGGTTGGGGATGGCTTCCGGACACTGAATCCAAAGAATTTCCAGGACGAAAGCAGGAAAAGACCGGTCTAATAGATAGGAAAGAGGTGACAGAGATTTACAGGGTCATAGAGAGGTAGATTGTAGGGGAGAGGGGGGGGGGGGGAAAGGGTGGGTATGGGTTTGATGGTCGTCGGAGATCGTCAGCCTCGTTGGGGAAGTGAGTTAAGGTACGTACGGGTTAAGATGGAGACGAGAGTGTCGGGCGACGCCTTGCTTCAATGGGATTCGACCGCGGGTCCCGTGGCCCGCTATTCCTGGTGGGGCTTAGTGCCTTGGTCCTGCCGCCGAAGGGACCAGACCCCGACCTATGCCCCTTCCGGCTAGTCCCCTGCTATCTATATCTCTATCTCCCTCCGCCATGGCCCATAACCAACACTGTCTGACGTTGGATTTCCAAACTGTATCGGCCTTGGCCTTTGCCTGCTTTTATTCGATGTTCACTTGGTTAGAATCACTCACACTGACACTGGCAGTTCAAGAACCATTGCTCGGTGGATTATATGCTTGATTGAGCAGATTAGTCTGATGATCAGTTGCAAACAACTATATCCGCGCCTCACCCCGGGGGGAGATGGTCACAGCGCACTGATCTGCATCACAAGATTGATGTCTTACAAGATCTTGGACAACGACAGCATATGACGCTAAATGATGACCGCTTTTACGCCCCTTGAGAAGTTGGGGAAACGAAGCGGGGTCGACCATGCTTACATGCTTCTTCATGCCTTCTCAGCGTCAAACTCGCCGCCACCATTCTAACAAAGGACCACATAGCTTTCACTCATCGTCATGTCTCCTACAATCCGGATCGCCATCTCTGGCGGTGGCTTAGCGGGAGCATCACTTCTCCACGCTCTTCTCCCTCATAAACACTTGGATGTGCACATCTTCGAGTCAGCCCCGGCCTTCAGAGAGGCTGGCATGGCTGTCGGAATCGCTCGAAATGCGCTCACCGCCCTCGAACTCATTAGCCCGTCAGCAGTGCAATGTCTCGAAGCAGCCGGGGCTGTTCCCATGCAAGGAGTCCGATTCATGCTCGCTGAAGGTGAGGACGCGGGTGCCATGATCGATGAGACCAAGGGCGGACAACGTGTGACCAGCATCGTCCACCGCGCAGCGTTCCTACGAGAATTACTATCCCGCTGCCCTCCGGAACGCATGCATGCTTCTAAGAAGCTCGAACACTTCGATATTAACAGCGATGACTCCCTCACGCTCCACTTCGTGGACGGCACAAGCCACAAGTGTGATATCCTGATTGGCGCGGACGGCATTCGCAGCACGGTTCGTAGGCTGATCCTCGGCGTGGACGACCCTGCGGCTTCTCCCCGGAATACCAATGCGTGGTGCGTCATGACATTGCAGCCGACTGCCCGCGCCCAGGCCAGCATCGGCACGGGGCCGGTTGGCTTCGAGGATGACGCTCGCGAGTACATGTGGATTGGTAAAAGGGCTTACTTACTGCACAACGTATTGCACGGGGGTGAGCTGGTGCAGGTGATTATTGCCTCGTACGAAAAAGATGCAGAATCGTCGGACCGCTGGCATCGGACCGTGAGTGCCGATAAGATCAGGGAGCTCTACCAAACCTGGCCGCCGCATCTGTCTAGGGCAGTAGAAGAGGCAAGCTGGCCCTTTCTTGTTTCGTACTCAATACGCTGACGGAGAGCATTTAGCTATTTTGTGAGCAGCCTGAACAGTCCGCCATGTACCTCTGGGAACACCCACCCGCAAGGACCTACGTGGCTGGTCCTGTTTGTATTATGGGCGACGCTGCCCATGCCACAACGCCCTGGCAAGGCTCTGGTGCTGGCATGTCTATCGAAGACAGCCTGATCCTTTCCACGTTGCTCGGCCGCGCGCATACCGCCGCAGAGGCGCGGACTGCGTTGCAGGCGTACGATCAGGTCCGCCGCCCGCGCACGCAGCGTATCGTCGAGTCGAGTCGGGCTACCGGCCTGGTTTTATGTGGGTTGGGAGAGGAAACGAGACTGGACCTGCGAAGTCTGAGATGGAGCTTGTTGCCGAGATGGGATTTCATCGTAGATTTCGATAACGAGAAGCACCGTGATGAGGCAGTCGAGTTGATGGAGCGGGTATTGAAGCCTGAAGGTATGATTTAGTTATGCCAATGACAATCATCCGACCCCCCCCTGTAAAACACACGGAGCTTGACACGTGCAAGCCTAGAACCTGTTACAGGGCAGGCTTGGATGATGTTCATCTTCCTACGCGGCCACATTAGGCTAATTGCTTGCTAAGCCTTCCTAATTTGGCCTCATAAAAATACCGCCGTGTCATATAAGAATCAATCAGTATTTACCCACTCGCTATACAGAATCTAATCTATCACACATATACAAAAATTGAATTCGTGGTGATACACATGAGCAGAAGCGCATCACAATCGTGACCAAATGATAAAAAGTCGAGCTCAGCGATATTGTTCGTAGAACTCGATCTCCTTCTGGCGCTTCCGCACCATCTCGATCGTCTTTTCATCGTACAGCTCCTCGAGCGTCTTGCCCCCGAGCAGAACCTCCTTCTCATGACGCGTGGCCTCATCCTTGGTCATGCAGACCAGGTTCTTCATCTCGACCGGCACGTAGGTCTGGCCCTGCTGCATCCACTCCGGGTCCGGGGCGAAGCCGCGCTGCGGCCGCTCCCAGGGCACCAGGCAGACGCGGCTGGGCAGACCGCTGACGGCACTCTTGCCGCGCCAGATCTCGTCGACCAGGTAGCCGACGTCATCCTTGCTGACGGGCAGGCGCAGGCCGACGAGGGCGGGCCCGTACTCGGCGCGGGCCAGGCGCTCGTGGGTGCCCTGCAGGGCGGCCAGGACGCCGTCGTACAGCTTGTCGCGGCCCTTGCCGCCGATGCTGTAGTCCTGCGGGTAGCCGGCGATGGCGCAGATGACGTGGTTGGCGAGGGTGTAGCCAAACACGGCGGGCATGGTGCCCAGCACGGGCAGGATGCGCGCGCGGAAGTCTGGCAGCACGCTCAGCTCGCCCACCTGGCCCTTGGAGAACTCCTCCTCGGCCAGGGGCAGCAGCGTCGCCTTGCCGGGGCCCGGCTTCTCCGTCGAGAACACCACGGGGATGCCGGCCGTCACGCCGAGGAGCTTGAGGCGGCGGCGCGTGCTGCGCGACAGCGGGTCGTCCGTGCTGTGCGAGATGTCCCCGACCGTCACGCGGGTGGGGTCCGACTTGCACCCGGCGCCCATGGCGGAGATGACGGGGACTCCCTGGGTGTGGCAGTAGTGCAGCAGCTCCACCTTGGACGTGATGTTGTCGATGCAGTCGAGCACGAAGTCCGGCTTGCGGCCCTTGTCGCCGTCGTTGTGCGCCCACGGCGCCAGAAGCTTCTCGGCCACCGACCCGCCGAACAGCTCGTTGCGGCAGTCGAACTTCACCCACGGCACGATCTGCTCCAGGCGCTTGCGGATGCAGTGCACCTTGGGCGTGCCGACGTCCGCCAACGTCGCCAGCGCGTGCCGGTTCAGTGAGGACAGTGTCACCTGGTCGAAGTCGATCAGCCGGATCTTGGAGACGCCCGAGCGCGCCAGCGCGGCCACCGCGTGCGAGCCCACCCCGCCGCAGCCGACGACGACGATGTACGAGGACCGGAGCTTCGCGAGGCCTTCGTCCGTCAGGAAGACGCGGTTCCGGGCGAGTTGTTCGAGGATGAGATCTAACACGGACGGGGCTTGTTAGCGGCGAGGAGCTTTTTGACTGCAGTAAGGGTGGGCCAATGGCATACCGTCATCGTAATCGCCTTCTTGTGCTCGACGGGCGAGAGCGGCACTGCGCTCGTCTTCTTTGCTCAGTTGCGTGGCGGCGGAGACTCCATAATCTGTGAGCTTGAACAACCAGAACCAGTTAGCTTCAGATGCTGCAGTATGCTTTGAGGTATATGTACCTTCTCTGCGTGATGTTGTTCGTCGATACTCGGGATCGAGGCCTTGAGCTGCTGGACGGCCTCTTTTCGCCGGAGCGCCTGGTAGCCGAGAATGACGCCAGCGACGGCGGCGCCTGAAAGTACGGCTGTTGCAGCCAGCTGCGACTGATGGGAGCTACCCTGGCGCTGAAGCCAGGATGACATTTTTTTCTGGTATTGTATCTCTGTCGCCCGTTTAGGTCTCGCTTTCGGAGTTTGCCTCGTGGGTTCGTGGGTAGGATGTAGGAAAATGCGCCGACTAGTGTCGCAAACTATAGCAGAGTCAGAAATGAAAAATCCGGCGCATCAGATTTCCGATCGCATTGAAGGCGGGCGAGTTTATCTGTCAGTAGAGATGGAATGACACACTAACCTCGACACCCCAGATTTCAAGGACACAGGTCCCCTTTGCGAAGCGTTACGTAGTTCCAAGGCAAACTTGAAGCTAGAGTGGAGAAACCCTCGCCGCAGAACTGACGTAGATCACGTGCTTCCGCGATGACTTTCTTCTGCCCGCGGGCGCGCGTCTCCGCTGCAACACGCAACCAACTCCCCGACGCGGTTGATCATCCCTGGAACGGTGTTTTGATGAGAACACCCAGTGCAGCAATCTCATTTCTATCAATAGGAACCAAACCTCCTCTCAACTGATCTTGATGCAAATCTCCTACCCACAGGCAAGATTTCCACCATCCCGATGACGAGAACACCACACAAAGAGCTTTATCTCATGACACCTTCTCCAAGGGACCGTCATACCTAGGTCCGGGCAGTGGACTTCATCCTTCCAGCACTTGTGTTCTGGAATGGAAGAAGACATCTGTCTAGAAGTGTGAGTGATTGAGAAATTGAACAGAGATCTAAGGGATTCGTGGAAGTCTCGCCGTGTAGTACTTCTTTTCCCCCCTGTGTAGGTATGTTTGTCTTCTTCTCAGCATTGGATTAATGTTTTTGCTGTACTTGTGATAGGGCCTGCGCTGTGTGCGAAGATTCGAAAAGGCTACCACGTCTTGACAAACCTGTGACTTTCTCAAGAATCACCATACTCCACGAGGTGTTGCACCTGAGCAGGAATGCCGTTAGTGAAGCTGGCGACTCCTGTCTCAGACACATCGGAAGGATAAGCCTGCATTTAGTGCGGTTTCTCGGTTGACGACGTTGACACGTTG